AACTCTTGAGGAAGTGAGCAGCTCAACGCTGATTCCTTGGTCCATTCGGCCAGCACCCGCACTACCAGCACCACCAACACTACCACTACCAGCACTACCAGCACTCAATCAATACCAGCACCGCCTCCGTACCACCACGCATCAACCACTCACCACTCACTTCTCACTTGCCCTCACTCACCACTCGTCGTCCGCCGAACCGCATTCACCGTTCCCGACCCTTGCACCCCATTCACCACACCAAAACTGGACGTAAGAAACCAAGCGCCAATTTGGCACTGTCACCACCGTGAACCCTTCAAATCTGAGACGCTTGGAGCAGCTCGCAATTCCATGTTACTCTGGTACTGTGTGCTTGTACTTTGTGCTTGACCCAAGACCCCTCTCCTTGAGGATCAGCATCTGGTGACATTGCGCGATCTTGACCCCAGTACGCGAATGCACTGTGGCGTCCCATCAGGCTGATAGGATACCAAGAAACCCCCGCGGGCACTGACTTCTTGGAAGAAGGCTACCGACAGTACTTGGGATCCCCTTGCACTCGCATGTGCGGAAGGCCATCAGGCCCGTGTCCTGTCAACCCTTCCGCCCGCTTGCCGCCGGAAACCAATTCAAGACTGGATTATGGTCCAGGCATCGTCACGCCTGATGCCTTCAACTTACTGAAGATTTTTGCCTCTGCCAACATTCCTGCCCAGTGTCTGATGGATCAAAAGCCAGACTCTGCCTGAACCTGTGCATTCGGATCCCATTCAAATTCCCAAAGTGCCGAGGTCTGGACTCTGAAGTGTTTCGAGGTTGCGCTACACGAAATCGAGGTTGCCCCCCCCGTCGTCGACAACTTGCCGTTCGCACCAGCGCACTCTTCGGTCTTTCTCCCCATCTGTGGTCGCACATCAACACTGGCTTCTTTTGCGACCGATCTCATTTCTGCGGCCTTTCTTATATACGCAGCCCGGCTACCCAGCTGCCCAGCTGCTTATCCACGAGTTAGTCAGTGATTTGATACTGGACCATTCCACCACGGCCACAACTCCTCGATCGAGGCAACCGCCGTTCTCGCACTTACCCAATGTGGTGTCTGTCCGAGTGGATGAGATGCCATCATGCAGAGCTATTCGCTGTCATCCGCGCCTCCGCCGGGCCACAAGAACTATGTCTTTGTCGATGAGCATAACCGACATAAGCGGCTCAAGGTGATGAGAGCCTGTGAAGGATGTCGCCGGCGGAAAATCAAATGCGACTCCGCCACAACCAACACCTGGCCTTGCGCCGCCTGTGTGCGGCTGAAACTCCAATGCATCCCTCCGGCAGGAGGACTCGAAGGCGATTCAGGAGACATTGCGCCCGGAAGTGCTGTCGAAGAGACGGGCGGACCACCATCATACTCGGCCGCATCGATCGCGCCTAGCCAGCGACTGGGTCAGAGCTATGCGCACACGGCGCCAACCTTCCAACTTAATCAAGGAGACACATATTCTTACGACGCCTACGTTAGCAATTACCAGAAGCCATCGTTTCAAGTCACGGAAAAGCCCTACGACGGATATTATTCAGATTCTCATCAGTTCCCCGGAACGCTGCATGATCCCTATCAGAATGCCGCTCAAACGTATGCGCAGGCCCAACACGATGAGAAACCTCTCAGACAAGAGCGCGCTGGGTCTTCCCCGATCGACCAATTCACCGCCGAAGATCTTATGGAACACCTGGGTCAGTTGAAGATCGGCGAGAGCGGAGTGGCGCCCTATATTCGATCGGAGAAAAGCAGCAAAGAGCTAGACCCCCCCATTCAGGAACCTGACCCCGAGCCAAAGATTGCTGCTGCCTTCAGCACCGATGCGGGCTCTCAGATAAGGATTCCACCACCACTGATGCCGTCGCAGGAGGAGGCGATGCAAGCCTTTGACACGTACTTCAACAACGTTCACCCGTATGTTCCGGTGTTGAACAGGAGCCATTTCTATAATCAGTGGCATAATGATCGAGGATCGATATCTCCTCTTATATTGGAGGCCGTTTTCGCCAATGCAGGTCGACTATCTGACGACCCTGCTCAAGGCGCACAATGGCTCGCTCTAGCCAACAGTAAGTACGGATAAGTCCTTTTGACTGTGCAATGCTGACAACTGGGAGAACATGAACCGTTCTTTCTGGACAGTCCATCGCTGAGCAACCTCCAGGCCTTGTTGCTTCTGCTAAAAGCCCGGGAAAGCGCACCCAAAAGGGGATACTATTATCGTTCATGGATGACCTGTAAAACGGCTATCACCATGGCGAAAGATCTTGAATTGCATGAACACTATGAAATACATTCGCTGGGACAGTCATGTAGTTCCGATCCCGTCGACTGCCTGACCAAGACTCGAATTTGGCAGACTCTTCTGGTTTGTGAGACCATGGTAGGAGGCCCGCAGGGTGAATTTGGCTCTCCTTTTGGTACAATCCCTCGGTCGACTAACAGATGTGCAGGGCGAACCGATTTCGGCGTAGATCCGAATTCTGTTGATATCAGTGAAAATCCGCCGTGTTCTGAGCTAGACGACTACGAAAGGTCGATCTCGAGGCAATTTGCATACTTTGTCCGCAACGTCCGCAATATCCGTCTCATCACGGATGTCCACCGCAAATTGCAGAGGAAGAAGGACTGGGCTCTGGACAAAGAATTCGTGGCATATAACGCCTCCTTCCAGAAATGGCCTGATGAGCTCCCACCCGACTTGCAGCTACCACTCCCTCCCACGGGTGCAACACCCAATGTAACCTCGCATTTTCTAGGAAACATGCATTCTCACTATCAGCTGGGGATCGTAATGCTCCACCGGCCACAATTGTCAGCGTCTCAGTCGTTCGCTGCCGATAGCCAGTGGAGACATCATATGAGTGTTTGTTACAACTCAGCCAAAATACTTTGTCGACTGCAAGAAGGAATCCTGGCCAACTTCGATCTGACGGGATTGCTGGTTATGCAAAGAGGGATCAATTTCACCATCTACGCCATCTTAACCTGCATCATGATTCATTTGGTCGCACTTTCTTCACCGGATCCAGAATTTAATTTCGAGGCAAAAGACTACTTTGTCCGACAAATGAGGATTCTCGAACAATGTGTCTCTGCTTGGCCAATGCCGGAAACAGAGGCTCAAATCAATGCGCTTCGAGCGGCATTTTCAGCTGATGTCAACAAACCCTTTGAACTCAAGGAGTCCTTCCCTCATGGTACGCCCTCTGAACATTCCCGACCATCTCCTGTATCTCCACCGTCCTTCGAAAGACAACAGCCACCGATGCAACCGCAGGGACAGAAGCTCGTCGATCTTCCAAAAACACAACAGACACAACAGCAGCAGCAGCAGCAACAACAACAACAACAACAACCACAGCCTGGTCCTTACGCGTCCCAGCATCTGAGCCAGATGACCCGCCAGACTCCATACCTCGCCACCCCACCTGTCTCAGTCTATACAGCCGATTCAAAACCTCCAACACCCATGTATGCTCAGAACTATGAACTAGAACAGACATCCTACTCAAGCATACCGAGCTCTGCGGGTGGATATTACCAGCAAACGACCTCGGCGGCCGAAATCCAGTGGAATCCGACACCTATCATGGACCAGTTCGATACGGCGTTCGCCATTCCTCCATCTGCACTGGCCCCCCCTCCATCCTTGTACGGGGGCAGCGGTGCCTCACCGCCGGGAAACATGCATTCCGTGCAAGCGAGCTTCACCTCGACGAATTCCCCCACCTACGGGACGACCTCACTGCCGAGCTATACGCCACAACAGCAGCAACCGCAACAACACTACTTTGCCACACAGCAGCCACAATCATACCAAGATACGTCGCCGCCGATGGTGTCCAACTCACAGCTCCCAATGTCTGCGGGGACTGCATATGCCACGACTGGCGTGGGAGGGGCGCCAATGCTTGTGACGCCTCAACAGTGGCAGCAGAGCGTAGCCAATGTGATTGACGCGGGCAGGTTAAAGAGGAGGTGGGATTATGCTCAGCAGTAGTTTGATTGTATCAGGTCATGTCAAATCACAAACGAAGAGGTCCCCTTGCTCGGCCTCTGGGAAATGAATCATTCTCTCAATCAAACAATAGCAAAGCGGGTGAAAAGGACAACTGAGCTACGCACTCGCATGAAGTCACAAATTAAGGAGGGAAAGGCTCTGGGCACGGAGGATAAGAGTGTATTTGTGTATGTGGGTGTTGGGGGGCGGCGGTAATGACTTATTATAATGATTGGGATTGAGAGGAATTACACGACCTCGGCGGTGTCGCGTATACCTACTGCAATGATGCAGTCAGTTGGTCAGTTGGTCAGTCGGCCAGTCAGTCAGGATACGGCGCATACATGCATGTATGCGATTCTGCAAATGAATCAGAATATCCTCTCTTGACGTCCATGGTCTTTTCTTGTCTTGATTCTATTCCTGCTTTTCCATGTTCCTCTTAATTCCGTAACCTAGATTGAGACGAGCCAAAAAAAGAAGAAAAAAGAAAAAAAGGGCTACATAGAATCAATATCCTTGGCTTCTTGGGCGAAGTATCTCTCTCTCGTGCGCGCTCGGCATATACCAGCGCCCTGCGAGGACCAAAAAAAATATTGAAGTGTGCCTGCGATTTCTAGCAAAAGCGATTTCGCAGAGGCTCAGCGGACCCGTATCAATCCTATACTTATCTCTTCATGAGAGCCCTCGTCCGCACTGGATTATGCGAAATTCTGCTTGCTCTTTTCAGCGTTCGTCGACGTTTTCGTCAAGCGTACAGGCTACAAGGTATATCGCCGTCCGCGCTGGCAATGTTCCGCCACAGGTGAGCATGTTCAGTGATATCTGAGAGGAGAGATGCAGTGGGGTCTCCTTGCAGGCCGTTCCTTTCATGCAAGAGCTATGCTCGACATGGGACATGGTTGTTCTCAACATGCCCTTTTTCTCAGAGCGTAATCTCCAGGCTTTTCTCCCATGTTGAAAGAAACATCACAATTCTCACCGCCTCGTCAACCATTGTCCCAGACTCCTGTCCCACGCTTCGATCCTGATTGGCATCTCCATCTGCCAAAAAGGGTTTTTGCACACGTAGTCTGCGTATCTCTCGTAGACGCCCTTCATGAGGAGATCTGTATTGGGCATGCTCGGGTCGGTGAACAGCAAGAATTTTGTCCCGCTCAGGGTCTGGAAGACCGTGAGGCGGAAGAAGGAGGATTCAAGGGATTCAATGCCCGAGGGAGCAACGGTCGGGTCCGGATACGTCCATGTCTTGCCCGACGGGTTTGCGGTCGCGGATGTTGTCACTGGCAGTTTAGGCGTGAGGGAGCGAGTGATTGCGTGGACGCCGTGGAATGTGCCGGCTAGGACGAGGTAGTCGTTGGTCGTGAGCGTAGACGTTCCCGGGAGGCCCAGCGTGCCCTGTACCGTCTGGGTCTGGTTCTGGCCCGTGAGATTCCCTGCTGCGGTGCCCGGGGCGGCGGTCGGGAAGGTGCGGTGGTAGATGAGCGAGCCAGCTTTGGAGATGATGAGGAGCGCGAAGACGGGCCTGTGACACACGACGAGGAAGGATAAGAATGGTCAAATTCTCTATGCAAGCCTCGGGAGCGACTGAACGAGGGGGAAGACGGAGGGGAAGGCTTTTTCCCTGCGAAAACGGCGACTTACATTGTGACTTTGTGATGAGAGAGACGAGCCAGCTGTAAAGAGAGGAGAGGTCTTCTCAAGGCGAGTTCATATCTGTTCTCGTGTCGCCATCCACCGCCAGCCCAGTTCCTCCATCAGGTTCCAGTGGATGCCAAGTGTGTCTGTCATTCGCAAGTGAGCGTGAGCAGCAACATCCTTTGGAGTAGGTACTGTATTCGCATCGAGGACGCCAAGGCTGCACGGGCGTCTTTCCCACTGATTGACGCGTTTGCATCTGCGCCTGCGCCTGGGCATCGGCCCCCAGATTCCGCCAGCAGCAGTAAACCGAAGCTTCTTTGATCACAACCATCCTCACTTCTCTCGGCAGCATCCTCTTTTCGAATACTTGACAAGCCCTTCCCGCCTCGCCAATCCAGCTAGCTTTCTCGCCGTTCCTCCAATTTGACTAGAAACCCTCGACGTATCTGCGGAACTCCCATCAGTCGACAGTTACACAACACCGCCATCATGGTGCTCGAAGCCACCATGATCGTTGTTGACAACAGCGAAACGAGCAGGAATGGCGACTATCTGTATGAGAGTACCAAAAGTCAAACAAGATTAGCTACTAATGGTCTGGCAGACCTGACCGATTCTCAGCACAAAGAGAAGCCGTTTCACTCATTTTCAACGCAAAGACATCTTCAAATCCCGAATCCGCCGTTGGTATCATGTCCATGGCTGGAACAGGTCCTAAAGTCCTCACAACCCCTACTAGCAATTTCGGCGCCATCCTGGCAGGTCTACATGAAACCAAGATCAAGGGCCACATAAGGTTAGGCACGGCTATCAGTGTGGCGATGCTGGCCCTCCATCACAGAGCAAATAAATCTCAACGACAGCGGATCGTCGTTCTGATATGCAGCGAGCTGGATCCGAAATTCGGGGACAAGAATGACACAGAGAAGGAACTGATCAAGCTGGCAAAGAAATGCAAGAAGAACAACGTCTCGGTCGACTTTGTGGCCTTTGGGGATGCCATTGAATCGGCTACGAAATCAATACTGGAGAAATTTGTGGAAGCCGTGGGTGGCTCGTCTGGAGAGGGAAATTATCTGGCCGTCATCCCTCCCGGACCGGGCTTGCTCAGCGACAGCCTGATAACCACGCCGATAGTCAGCGTGGGTGGGGAAATGGGAGCTGGAGCCGGTGGCATGGAAGGCGTCGAGTCCGGGGGCGGAGCTAGTCGATTTGATGAATTCGGCATTGATGCAGCGGCAGATCCAGAACTTGCCATGGCATTGCGGATGAGTATGGAAGAAGAGCAGCATCGGTTGGAGAGGGAGCGCAGAGCACGCGAGGAGGAAGAGAGACGGAATGCGGATAGGATGGAGACCATTACCGAAGAAGGGCAGGGCCAGCAGCAAGCGGCAAATGGAGACAATCAGGACAGCAGTGCGTCGAAGCAGCCGCGGGTAGAGGATGATAAACAGGAGTGATGGTGGCTCGCTTGTATTTGTATCAAGGGAGATGGAATAAACCATGCAACATCTGTGGTCCGGTCGACCGATCGAAAGAGATATCACTGAATGCGTCGAGCTATCCGGGCGAGGGCGTTCACTATCCCTTCCCCAGAATGCTGTCAACTTCAGCGGAGAATCCTGTGGCCAATTTTACTCCAAAACACGAACCCTATCCTTCCAAGGAGATCAACACCCGGCATATCTCGCTTGGCCCTGGTCATGCTCTCCGTCAGCGCTCGTCAACGGCCGCTCATAGGAATCCGCCTCCATTGACCAGGGCGTCGGGAGCCTCTTGTTCTCTGTTGCGCGAGGGGGTTGCGACTTGGCCCAGTCGTACCCATTTCGCTCCAACACTTTCCGGAGTCGCCTGCCGGGGACGGTCAGATATCATGGCCCATTCTGCCGCGATGGAGGGAGGGATGGCTGCATGCTTTCTCACAAGCATAGCTCCCATGTGGCGCGCGTGCAGATTTCCCGCATCAGTCTCTCTTATCCGTCCGTATACATCCCTCTTTTTCGGATGCCCATCGCTTTGTGCGTGCATATCACCGCGCCCCTGCACCACCACTGCCGCCGCCGCCGCCCATAATCCGCTCCTCGCGACTCCTCACGATCCGCGCTTTGTCCCCTGGCAACGGCTTGAGCTCGTCGCTGGGGTTGTGTTCTTTGACCCCCGCTTTCTTTTTGGTCCCCGCAGCATCGCCGCCGCCGTCGCTCGTCGTCCCGTCAGGATCATGCCCGCCGTTGGCGTCGTCCTCGTCGTCGTTGTTGTTGCGGAACAGACCGTCCGGATCCTCCCCCGTCGTCAAGTATCTGTCGTACGCGAGGAGGCGGAGCACTTTTTCTTCAAAGGGGGCGATGTCTTCGCCGGTGACGGCCAGCGCGGTGGGCTTGCGGCGGAGCATGGTGGTCGGATGTGGTTAATCTGGATGCGCGTAGGGTTGGAGGGGAAACTTGGAAGAGGGTGGGCGCTGAATATGTTTGTATGTTGAGGGAGCTCACGGTCCTCGTAGCCGTCGCCGGGCAAATAAGGATAGTATAAGATGTGGTGAATTGTGTCACTGACTTGTTTACCATTTCGTACCTTTTGAGCGCGGCGGCAATCGTTCAGGAGACTTTTGGCACGGGTATACACCCCCACTCACACTATCCATTCAGCAACTAGGGAAGTGTACCGACTTGCCGAGTATTACCCAGTACTCCGCTGCTTGTCCTTGGGCAACCTTTGGTTAGGCTGCTCGGCTACTTTGGCTGCTGTGGCTGGTCTCCTCTTCCGCTCCACATCGCCTTTCAGCCTCACAGCCTTGTCGTGACCCTTCCATATCAAGAGACCGCCCGCACTGCAATGTCGTCCTGGTCGGTTGTTAAAAACAGATCGGCTTCATCTTCGGAAGGTAGTGCTCTCCTCCCTTCCTCCCTTTTTCTCTTCTACATCTGTTACACTCTTTGAAGGGCCACAGCTTCACGAGGCGCAGGGCTCTATCTCTCTCGCATGCATGGTGAAACCATGCCGCGTTAAAGGCGGCCCGGCCAGGGCTCCTTCCGAGGCGCCAAAAAGGATCAGATATTCGCACTGGACCTGTGTCAGGCTTGCAAAAGCCTGATGCGATGTGCAAGATGTAATAGAACACCGGTTTTACCTGTTCTCAGCATCGCCAATAGGTCTCCAGTGACATTTGCGTCGAAGATAATGCCCTGGTATTGTGTACTCCCCCTCGCCATTGTTTAAGTACGAGGATGGCCGCTCAGTACTTACTTGCTAGTGTAGATGCAAAGATAGTCCGATGTTATAGCTAACAATCCCAATTGCGCAAATTGCCAACCCCGCGCTGTGCTCAATGTAAGACAGAAGTCCGTTCAGGCTAATACATTCAGAAATCATCATTTGCAGCCAAAAGCGATGTGGAAAGAAGGATATTAAACATACTGAGAGTCTTGGAGCCCATGTGAAGCAACTGGGTTTGCGCCTGTCTTTCATTTTATCCTCCTCCATACACTCCCAATGCCCCGGAGTTTCCCTCTGAATGCCACGTACAATGTTGGCAGTTGTTGACAGGGTCGCGAGATCACCACTGGGGCAAACCACCTGAGGCGCTAGCTGTCTCACCAACTGCGCTACTTACCTCAACACCGTTGTTCTCGCCGTTCTGCGATAGCATGACAACGGAATAGGAGGTTTCAGGAATGGCCTTCAGATCACGGGCCAAAGTGTATATAAACAAGCAGAGTCTCTGAATAGGCAGAGGGACAAGGACACAATCAAGCACATAGATCCACTCTCATTCTGTGTACAACAGCAGTCCCAGGACAAGCAATGTCATCATCCAAAATAGCCCTCTTTTCACACCAACGCTGTCGTTTGTCATACTAAACAGTCCCTGCGGGAGTTTCGTTTGGAGAAGAAAACCTGGTCCAATCCTCAAACTCACCGCTGCTAAGCTAAGTGGGAGATATGCCTTATTTGTCAGTGGAGGTCCTTCAAGGAGTCGGGTTTTGAGACGCTGACTTACTACTGCCATGTTAGTCAATACTTTGGTATTATCTCCTTGTTAAGTGGAATGTCGACTCTTTGTTAGAGACGACGAGTTGACTAGCTGTAGAGCCCAAATAGGCAACAGAAGCTGGAAATCTACCATCACAATACCCACGCCATCCTTCATGCGGTCAAACGTCTAAATCTCTTGAATCAGGACCCTCTCGGGGGTCCGCATGGTTGCGAAATCGTCAAGGATGCTGTCCAAGTAACTAATCAGTCTCTCTGTGTTAGATCCTGCTAAACAAGTACATGACGGAACCGCGTTTGCAGGATGCGTCTCTCGGCGCGGTCTGATGACCTCTACATAGTCTATCAATTTTGAGGTTGACTGTCTTCACGGTCCTCACCTTTTCGCACAGTTTATCATACAAGCCGCGCTCGTCCAAGGCATACATGGTGGCCTGCTGCACGGAGAATTGAGAATCCCACACAACACTAATGGCCGCCCATACTGTATGCCAACTCCATCGCGTCCACTGTTGAGTTTTCCCCGTGAGATAATGCCAGATAACATGTTGACGCTGGAAATAAATTTGACATAATAGCCTCGTTAACGATGGAGGTAAACTAGTCAGGGTGCATAGCTGTAAAAGAGGTCTCATTGTGCCACTAGCGGCACGAGAAGATGAAACAATACCTGTGGATTGAAATCAATTATTATTTTGTATATTTCAAGGGGTTTTAGGTGAACATAGGAACTACCCATCGTTCTATACCCCAGCAAGCACCAAGCCTAGCTCCCTAGGTTGTGCCTGCCTGGGCAGTCGAATGAGACTGTTCTATCGTCCCATACCATTGAGGTCCTCCTACAGTCCCTTCGGATCGGAGGAATCGATCGCTTCGATGATGACACAAATGGGCTAATGCTACAGCCTTGCGTAAACCCTCCTCCGCTTCAAACATACCACGTCCGCGTGGATGGCACCTCTGGGAAAGGCTGCCCTATCCGAGTAACCCGTGAAACTTCATTTTAAAACGAAATCAGAAGACAATGCGACTGTTTCTCTCTTTGCAGAAGCACTCTGACTCCATGGAAATAGGACACACACCCGTCCGCTTTGACCATTGGAACGGTTCACCTGATTTTTCCTTCTCGCCCGCGGACGAGTTCGAATACTGCAAATCGCAATCAGAGCTCTTGGAAGCGTCAGTAGGCTCTTTACCTCCAGCTTGCGCTTAAGGTCCCTTGTTATCGTGACACTGAGATGGCCTCGTGACGTCCCAGCAAGACGGGCTGTTTGATGAGGACGTGACCATCAAACCAGTAGCGCTGGATTGATGGTGAGCCCGAGCCGCTCGCTGCTCGGCTGGGCCAGTGGCTGCCAGTTTCTTGATTGTGCTTCTAGTGTTGAAACCACCATTTTGAGAGCGAAACCATGGACTAGCACTGGGTTGGGAGTAGCGACTACTGCTCCACGGTATCACCAATGGATATGCGCTTGCCTGAAGTTGAGCGCCTTGAGCTTTTCTTTCTCTTCTTACTTCCCGAGTCTGGAGGTGTATGCAATATTTGCGGCGCAGAAGCTCTTCGGATGTCTTCGTCATCTGAATTAACTTTGTCTTCGAGAGTTAAGTCGATGACTTCTCTGAAGCGAAGAGGCAAGTTCGCCGCGGACTGAGCAGGGGTATGGACTGTTTGACGATCTGGTGTGCCTCGCGGGAGCTTGGACTCCATGGCGTCTGACACGAGGCAGCTCTCTGACTCAACTCGTGGAGACGGCAACTGCAAGGGTGAAAGAACACCGTCTGAAACCATCATCTCATCGATCTGGTTGTTGGAATTATCCTGTGCAGCCTTACTTCCTGAAGTTTCCTGATCCATGCCATTGTCGGGCGGCATGCAAAGCCTCACCTCCGGAGAACATGGATCATGGACTGGCATCTTGGACGACTTTGCACCTTTTCGTCGTTGAGTAGCTTTAGTTTCAGAACCACGTTCACGTGTTGTTCTGGATTTGGAGGGCGTATCTTCAGCATCACGAACATTCTCACTCAAACTGGCTGGGGATGGTCTTAACGACGTTGGAAGACTGCGAGGGGGCGGCATGTTTGCGCGGGACGGAGGAGGAGAAGACGAGGCTGTTGCCTGCGCGCTGGATGTTGAAGAGAAGAGCCTTCGACGTACAAGTCCAGGTTTCGAGTCAGGAGATGTTGGCAAGAGCGCGGCTTCGGGTGACTTCACCACTCTGTTGGTGGTTTCTTTTGGAGTTGTAGTATGAGTGGGCTTTCTGTGTGTCCTCTCAGGTTCTGAAAGAGCATCGCTAACCCGGTTCTGCAGCAGTGTCGGCGTGTTCATAGAAGGATCTTCGGCCCTTATGGCCTTGGCAGCTTGTGTGGTGTCGGCAGGCGGAGTGCTTTTTCGAGAACGTATGCCAAGGAGGATAGAGTGATCGACCCATGTGTTGTTGCTGGAATCGTAGAGAAATCGGCCCATACGACCTGTGACGACGTTTTGGTCTTCAGGCTGCGCTACGACATCAAACATTGCTCGAACGAAATCGCGCTTGAGTTTGAGGCCTCGATAGGGTGCCAGTGTAGCAATCCAGTCAACCCAGTAATTAACCACTCGTTCAGCATTTTCAGAGCCGATGTAGAACCACTCGTTGTGGACCTTCCTGCACGGGCCGCAGCGCAACTCGTATCGGTGTTTGCAAAGGTCTGAAAACACAAGCGACTCAACTCGCTTAGCATACCTGGTCGTGTAAGACTTGTGCAGTCTGTATTTCAAGTTGCACGAAGCTTTCCATTCTTCCAGACGATACTCGGGTTTCTCAAGTTCAGTCGAGTAGCCTATCTTGACATAGTGCTCTAATGTCGGATGAATGAGTATGTAAATGAAGCCAGATTTGAGCTCATCCGGGTCGAGGCGTTTCGTAATGGTCAAATAGAGAGAGCCTTTCTCCGATCCAGCCCAGTAACGGCGAAAGTTGGACGCGTCATCACCATTTGCAAATGCCGGCGAAGGCTGCTGAGAAGCGGCGGGATTTCTGCACTGAAGGTTACGAGTGGGCGTGAAGCGCTTATTCTGTGGGTACATTTCAGGACTCTGCAGACCTGAGGCATGGCTCTCGGCAGAATGCTCGATTTCTGATGGTTCGTCTTCGTCTTCGTCTTCGTCTTCGTCTTCAACGGGGAAGTGGCCAGCAATTCGATGCCTTAACAGCTTGTAGGCGATGAAAGTGCTGAAAGATGATCTGAGTGAAGTATCCTTCAATTCTATCTCCCATCTCTTATACATGGCAGTCACATTTTCCTCGGCAATCTGGTGAATTGGACAGTGGCAGAGCTGAGAATACATATATAACATTTTGTGCGTCTGCGGATCATCCCAGCGGGCCACGAGGAGTACCTCACGCAGCAATGTTGCAAAACGTCTAGCTGTTGTGATAATAGACCCTTTGCATCTTCTCTTCTGCTTTTGTAACAAATGAATGCATTTGAAATCGGGGTCTGAGGTGTGGAAGATCTTTATTGATCTCTCAAAGTCGGGAAAGAACTGGCTTCCTAGCTTGGTAAGCAGCTCTGGCCACAGGTAGTAGTTCAAGCTGGCAGACAATAAAAAAGACAACAACAACGTCCCGTAAATGAAGAATGACATGGCGAACAACGTATGGGGGAAAAGAGGTAGAGAATCGAGAGGCAGAGAAAGAAGCACTTGCCGTCCGTATTGTACTCATTTAGGCGGCACGCTCAACTCACCAATGGCCAGGCGGAGGCTGGTAGGGGCTACTGAACAGGTGCTGCTCAAGATGCGACCATGCAGATTGGGTGGCGTCGACAAGGGCATGCATGAGCATGGCCACATGGGCGCTGTTTTAGCCTGACGTTTGCTTCCGGCGAGATGTGGGTGCTCGTCGTCCAAAGCTTTCAACAGAGCTCAAGAAGAGAGAGAATGACCTCATTTTCGTCGCATACGGCTACCTGTGCGGTATACTCGTACAATTTACCAGCTTCATCCGGGGGCCACGGAGTACGTGTATGTAGAGGGGAGCTTCACGATAACGGGGATGTGGTGAAACATGCCAAGCCAAAATAGGTAAGATGCGAGGCTGACTGAAGGATTTTCGGGCCAGCAAGCAGCCCTGTCGAGCGGCTGGAGGCAGCTCCAGCGGCTGTCGTAGCTCGCAACAGTTCCGCTGGCGCGAGCTTGTAGAATATTCCGTTGATAGTTAAGTTAGCGTCTTAAAATGTCCTTTGATGCGCGTGTTCGGCACAGCGGCACCGACATATTGAAACAAGCCCTGGGGACATTCGGCACGGGTTTAAGAGTCGACCGTCGCGGCTGCATACCATGGCAACTGGAGCGAGTGTCGAATTCATCAATCTCACCAGAGCTGCATTGACCACACCAAGTAGTCATTGTCAAGGTTGCTAGCTGTACCTCCCTCTATGGGATAAGAGGCTGGCAAGATATTATGATCGACCGCGGCACTGCGCGGCCCTACCGGGTATTCCTCTGAGGCCTCCTTTTCTTTGCAGCTAAGACGGTCTAACCTAGATGGGAATACCCAGGAAGCTTGGCGGATATGAGCCCTGATTGCCTCGGCCCATCCTGCCACCAAGTTACTTTTACCTACAAGAAGCATCCATGTCGATCGATTCTCATCACCTTCTGAATAGCAGATGAAAGTTACAGACGGGGACGGCGCTTTGTCTCCTCCTTCAGATAATTCAATCGATGCACGGATATCACCCTTGTCCCAAACCGGAGCCGAGTCGGTCAAGGCAGGTCACAGCAGCTGCCTGGTATATCTAACTTCAACGCTATACAGCAGGTATAGGTCAGCAACTATAGTGGTCCTCATGCTATTGACTTTCTCTGGACTGAGATACTTTCAACGTGGAACGTGTCTGCCTGTATTCCACTAGGTAGGTTGGGCTGATTCATGTTCAATAATTCTGGTGCCTGGCCATCCAGAGGATTTCAACTCTGTGTGCATTCTATAAGACACCTAGGGAATCCACAACACTAGAGGATTGCATCTTGGACTTCTCAGAGCCTTCCAGTTGAGAAGGGATAATTTGAATTGGCTCATCCTAAGCAAACCATCCGCCCAGTCTCGAGCCTCGACCTCCCATTGCTCTCCGACCTCATTCACACCTGCAAACTCGCTCTCCCCATCAACCGGCTCTTGTTCAAAGAATGGCCCAATGATGCCGCCCAAAAACCGCTTTATGCAGCTGCTGTCGAATAAGCATTCAAAGACGAACAGGTCGAATGTCTGAAAGCGGTTGACGAGGGATCTGGAGACATTCTCGGACATCTTTCCTTGACCAGGAAATGCCTTGACTCAGAATTCATGGAGGGCCAACAGAATCCTGACGAAGAAGCTGAGAGTGGAAAGAAGCAGCAGGATATACCCGAATTTTTTCAATCCCGACGTTCTCTCGGTAGTTTTAAACGCGGTGGCTGAGATTCCCAAGCAGATGAAAGGACTCGATCATTTCGGTACGATAGCTTGTTCATCAATGAATAATAGGCCCTTTACTGATCGAAAGGGACTAAGACCTCACGTATGTCTGCGTTAAGCCTCCGAGCCATCGACGGGGGATAGGATCGCATTTGGTCCGTGTCTGCCTCGGGAGGCAAAGGCCGAGGGTATACCACTTGTGGTCTGCTCTGAGCCCGCGGCGCACGACCTTTTCCTTAAGTTGGGGTTCAAGGATACAAAAGACGTGGATATTGATCTGAGAGAGCGGGCCCCAGCTTACAGTGGATTTGGCATCTTCAGGCTATCTGGAATGATTTGTCTCCTTGACCTTGAGTTAAACGGTATTGGCTGACGAGTGTCGGAACCTGGAAGTCTGTACATCACTCCATTCAACTAAAATACGATTTCATGAGCCAGTTTTGATAGCGAAAAGTATGAGCCGATGCTGTCGTCCTTGTTAACTGTGAGCTACAGATATTGAGACTCGAGCATGTCCTCGTCGTGATCTCAAGAAACCGCGGCACGATACCAACAACCGGACGGAAGCCTTGATCCACACCCACGCCAATCGGTCCTCCAAGTCAAGGGAGAGAATCACCTTGCGGGAACACTGGTGCTTCCCAACTGCCTCCCGTCACGCATCCCTCCCAAGACGGCCTTGACAAAGGGCACAAACCCGTGGGGCCCCGATGTGGCATCCTTCAAGTGCACGCAGACGCTGGCGCTGAGCGTGATTACCTCCCTGACGATCTCGAGCCGGTTCTCGAGCTCCAGGCCCGCGCCGACGAAGACGTGCTGGATCGCGTGGGCCTCGGCGGAGGCCTGGTCGAAGGCGCTGCGCACATCGGCGACGCTGCTTCCCGTGTAGACGCGCAGATCAGGATAGGTGGGAGAGGGAGACGAGAAAGATTCATCGCTGGCGGCACTTGCCGCCTGGAGGAGCTGAGATGGAGCTTGCTCGAGCACGCTGCCTTTACGGGCGAGCAGGAGGATTGTCGAAACTTCGAGGGTGGACATTTGCCAGTCAGCCAGCGCTGCTTTTGAATTCTCTCTGCTTCTACTGTAGTAGATGGCGTTCTATTCGGACCCGACCGGGATGTATTCGTATGTGTGACAAGACACGCATCTGTAGGATTAAATCTGTGTTATCCCTCGCTCGACCCTTTTATACGTCCCGGCACCCCGCCCGTGTGCGAAGAGTTTCATCACAGCTTGACCAGCTCTCCCCGTACCTGGGGAGGTAGGGTCTTGGACAAGGCTGCTAGCTACGAGGGGAGCTGGCTTAATAAGCTGATACGTCGGGATAGGGACCTTTTCCGCCCGACTCGGAGTGTGAAGATGAAGATTTCGAGCAACAACCCTTTCGCCCAGCGAGTCCCTTCCGGCCTCTATCTAGCCCTCGACCCGGGTTGGTGACTAATTCTTGACACTGGTGTTTTGGTCTCGGTGCTAGAAAGATGCAGTCGGCAGGCCAGGAGCTCGGATGAGCTCACAAACCTCGCCCGCGGATACTTCTTTCGTGACGACCAACCATGAAAGGTGGGCTCAGCATTCTGAAGGATAAGCAATGGGGAATATTCCGATTTGTTTGCTGCTGGGACCTTGTTGTGCAAGGAACTTGGAGATTTTGGGTTGGAAAATCATATCTCATGCTCGTTTAGGAATTCTTAATACATATTGCAATTCGCTGCGCAATCCCTGGATGGGATATCTGCGCCTCCTCCAAGAGACCCAACGCCGCGTTTTTTTGTCGCTCCTCTTGCTGCTCCGATCTTTTGCCTCTGACTGCTTTCCTGTGTGACCCATCATTGAGGGTTGTTCGTCTTCTCCAGCCTTCCGAGACGTGTTGAGCACCCGTAAAATAGGTTTTTCATCGAACAGTCCTCCTCCAACACAAGCTCTCGCCCCCTGATGGCTTTTCCCCTCTGGATGTGGTGTCAAGAATTATCAAAATTCATAAGCAGAGCTGAAAGGAGAAGACTGATTTGCGGCGTAGTTTAGCAAAAGCCCTCGGACCAAGTCGGCGTTCCCAATAGGCGATTTGAGAACAGCATTCGTTCGTCTCTCTGGTCTGCTGCTGGAGTCGGATACAATCGAGGACAACCTTTATCAACTCAGGTTTATCTCCCCTCGGCACCCAAGATTTGATTTGCTTGACGAAACCAATTTAAAGTGATGTCCAAGAAGGCTTGCTTCTCCCGTGCCTAGCATTCTTACACATGCCTCGCGAAAACCACCGGTATAAAATTCTTGTTCAGGTGTCTCAAGAAAACTTCCACCGGTTGCCACAATTAAGACACTCGCAGAATGTCGTCATCGGTTCATCTGCGCTTCGGGTCTGCGCCTGAGAGTAGCTGACTTTTTTCTGGTGACACTTTCCGCACTCCAGAGAGGTACTCACGGACTTCTCTTCTTGCGCAACCATGGCATTGTTCATGTTCTCCTTGGCAATCTTGAGGTCTTCCTCTCTTTGTTGGCGGGATTTCATCTCTTCGTGAGTCATGGTGACAAATCTTTGCGCGGTGACTTCTCCTGACAGAATGCGCACTCGCAATCCAGGGTTGGATTTATTCTTGAGATTCTGGTACAAGGAGCGAATTTTGTCCTTGTACACGGGCGAACCTGAGGATCCTTTTGCGTCAGGGAGATTGAGGGCGGCGGATTCGATTTGTTTGGCTAGCTCAAGGATCTGTTTCATGGGGATTTCGGAGCCCAGGCACAGACCATCGTAGATGAGACCAATACAATTGTTCCGGGCCGTATCGGATGTCAGTTCGTCACGGGGGACTTTGTCTGTTTTCCAGTTGCGCTTATCAGGTGCAACCCCGGGACTAGACGCCTTCGGAGTGGGTGTGGCGGCTTTCTGGGGTACCGGGGAACTGGTGCCGTTTGATCTGGCGCCGTTCGCGGTGGGTGTAGATGTACCGCTTGCCAGCTTCTGCTCGTTGACCACGTGTCGCCAGCGAGATATTATCTCCGCAGCGAGTTGGCTGACTTGAGGGTCCATATTGGGGACTCCCTTTACTTTATTGACGATCTTGCCTATTCCCGTGGCGCGCAGGAGTTCTTCACTGGGCCGGACGTTTGCCTTTAAGTCACGCAGGATGGTCAAAATGTTTGCAGAAGGCTCCTTCGCAGCGATGGCTTTCTGGAGTGCGGAGCCTTTGGACAGGATCTCCCGGCGGTCCATCTTGACGGGAAAAGGGAATGCGGTGCGGACGGAGCAATCGAATCTGGCGCGAACTGCGGCCGACCGACGGGTGTCGTCGAAGGGTTGTCGAAGGTTTGGAAGGAGTCGGAGGCCAAGTTTGCCCTGTTTACTTGAAGGTGATTAGCAAGTTAGGCTGAAGTGACCCTGATGTTAACGACAGTCGTAACAAGGAGAACATAGCGTTGGAATACAAAGGCGCCACCTCGCCATAAAATCCAGCCTGCTGCGCACGCTATCTTCTGAGCTCGTATGCCGACCAGCGTGCCCTCCTTTTCTGAGTTGAACTTGTCTGCTGGCGGCGCGCGACGTGTCTGGCATCGTTCAGAAGGCGGGGGTGTGGACGAGAGGCATGAGTCTGATCAGGTAGTCCTTACCTGAATCAATGTCTCGCTGCGCCCTTTCCGCGCTGCCTTGTAGTTCCCGATTTTGGACGAGTCTTCAGGTACGCCGGCCGGTAGGATGGGACAGAGGACAAGAGGAAAGAAGTCGCATAAGGCTTTGGAGGTTCGAGTTGAGGCGACCTGGGTAGCCAAAATCATGGTCTCGAGAGGTGTTCAAATGACGGTCATTTGAACCATCAGTTTCCACATCTGGAAGCGTCTCGGCGTCAATCCTCCGGCAGCAGCGACAGGCATGCAACACGCAAAAGCGCATTCAGGCAACAAGTTAAGCAAACGCAGCTTGATTTATTCATTTTTTATCTCAAGACATACAGAGGCTATAGCTGTTCATGATACAGTGGTCAACTCCATGCTGTCTTCCCAAAAAGTGTACTTTCCAAAGGTGAAGCTCATCACGCGACCTAATACTCCAGACGAACTTTTTGGCCCTTTACGCGGCCAATGACGATGTCGGCAGCGTATTTCGGAATCACTTCGTCGTCGTGGAGCATCTCAAATTCTGCACGTGTATTAGCCAACTTGACTGCTAAGAGCCAATCTTTTCAGACTCACCTTCGGTAGCGTCTTTGCCCATGTGGCTGAACAATGCTTGGGGACCACCTGGATGCTCATCAAGCCAGTTGGTGACGTCCATCACTACGCCCTTGACGGCAATCCACAGATCATCCTTTTTGTTGTGTTTGGCAACCTCTTCCAGACTATACTCTTTATCCGGGACCTTGAAGTTGCTGATATCGTTGACATCCTTCTTCTTGCCGGGTTCTTCGGCCTTGTTGCCGTCCATCACTGGCGCTGCGCTCCTTTGGGCTTGCTGCGAGGTCGTCTGAGTGCCGGCTGAGGGGGTTGGGGAAGCGCCGCTTCCCCATTCCACTGAGATCTTACCAGGGGTGCTAGGATCAATGTGTAACGAGATTTGACCTAGACGCTGAGAAGCGCCGGTGGCGCCTCCTTGAGTGGTAAGCTTGTGGAATAGGTATTGAGAAGCCGATGCGCCAGCAACTCGGCCGTAGACCACACAGCCCAAGAGCGATGAACCACCAAGTCGGTTAGCGCCGTGTACACCACCAGCAAGTTCACCGCAGGCGAACAGAGCTTCAAAGGGTTTGTGTTCCTTGTTGAGCACTTGGGCCTTGTCGTTGATCTCCATACCACCCATGGTGAAATGCACCACGGGCTCCATCAATGCAACGTGGAAAGTGTCATTGATGTCCATGGGCATGTTGTGGAAATACTTCTTGCCCCAAGGATCCTTCTTTTCGCCTTTGGCAATAGCGTTGTACTCCTTGAACTGCTTGTCCAACGCAGCCTCACCGCAGCCGATCTCCTTGGCCAGTTCTTTGCCCGTCATCTTCTTCATCAAGCCACGACCAGAGTAATGTCGGGTATGGAAATCAAGGACGTTTGAGGCCTTGGAGTTGAGAATCAGGCGGATGGGCCATTTCCCCTTCTCTTTCTCCTCCCACATCTTGCCAGAAACGTAGTCACGGTGGCCAAGATCGTCGCAAAATCGTTGGCCATCGCTGTTGATGAGAATACCGCCTTCGCCTCGAAGGGCTTCAGCAGCCAAGAACTTCCACTTGGAGTGGGGATCCTTGGGATCAACCAGACCGGTGGGGTGCACTTGTACCTTGTCCATATCAATGTCATTTGCGCCAATGGCCATCAACATCTTGTGCCCGTCTCCAGTGGCATGCGTGCCATTGGTTGACGACAGGTTAAAGGTGTCCGGTCTGTGCTTCTTGAGAAGGGAGGTCTCTGTAAAATCTGCGGCATATCCACCAGTAGCCAAAATGACAACACCGTCCACCGAGTGCTTCTCACCGCCGTATTCGTAGGTAACACCGGTGACCAAGTTGCCTTGCGTGTTTAGAGATGTGACCTTGGCCTTCTTGATCACCTCAACTCTCTCGGGTTCAGATTCGCAGAGCTCTTCGAGTCTTTGCATCAGGGCATAGGTGATAGCCATACCGGGGAATTTCGCATCGTGTCCACGGTGGGTACGGGGAAAAGAGTGGCCGCTGTACAGTCTGTCAGACTTGAGCTCTCAAGGATTTAAATCGTCACATACCCCAATCGAGAAACAAGAGTGAGGTCAAGGTTGAAGACATCCTGCAGCCATTCCACGGCCGCAGCGGATTGGTATGTGAGAACTCGAATGAGATCTGGCCTGGCCTGGTCACGGGCAGATTTGAGCGTATCCTCATAGAATTGCTTGACACTATCTTGAATACCGAGGTCGACCTGGGTTCGGGTGAGAGCACCGTTGATACCAGAGGTGGCCTTTGTCGAGTTGCCACCGAAGAAGTCTGCCCGTGCGTCAGTCGTGGTGGGTGTGGGCCGAAAGGACGACTAGACTCACTATTCTTGTCCAGAACAAGGACGTTGCCTCCGTTCAGATAGACGGTATGGGCGGCGCTGAGACCAGACACTGAAGTCCCCGAAAGTTAGCTAATCGATTACTTTGGGATGGAAAAGAGAAGGGCTTCCTTACGGCCTCCACCAACAACAATAACACGAGGAGGGGTCATTTTGGACGGACACAGAAGTTGATTTGAAGACGGGTGTAGATGGCTGGGAGGAGGTGTTGTCGAGGAAGAGGATCGAAAGGAAGAAGGATGATGAGTTTTTGAAGCTTGAGACGAACTCGATCACCTGCGCAGCCAGTAACCAGTAACGGGAGATTCGACCCCAGGATTGTGGTTGACGACACGGCGCAACCAAGGAGACGACAATTGACAGCAATGAACCTCGGCTTCCCGGTGACCAGCCTTGACTTGCCTGACCTGCCAAATATGTTCCAGCTGGTTGGTGCCCACAATCAGTAGCTGTCCTACCTACCCTGTACAACTAGGTAGTACCCACACAATGTTTTGTTCCCACACCGTCTTAAGACCGAACAATGTCTCTGCTTGAGTCTTCTGATGGCCGTGACTCCGGTTTTTGTATCTTCCTGGGGTGCAGCAAAGCTTGTCCGAGTTTGCCGACTGTCAATGGGCTGGACTCCGACTTGTCCGGGGAATATTCCCCTTCTCAGACCCAGCGGGCCGGGCGAGGCTCGCAGTTCTCACCTCCACGGAATCCTTCAGGTAGAGCATAACCAGTGGTATTGGACGCACCTAGGCTGCCCTAGGCTGCCCTAGGCTCCTCTAGGAGTTTGCTCCAGGCTCTATGCTGCCCCCGCACAGTCTCCTCCAAAGCCGAGCCTGCGGACTTCACATGCTTCGGCCGCTGCTTCCGCCACCTTCCAGCGTGGCCCGACCCCCGAGGGGGCACTGATCAAATTCATCTCTTCACTCACAGCCCTCTCAGTCCCGAGGCATGTGAAAAATACCATGCCGTAAGGCTATAAGAACAGTGTGACAGGCATCAGGTGATGGGAAGACGATTAGGATGTCACATGGCTTTTCCTTTTGATCAAGTCAAATGATCATGCGATTGAGAAACAAACATGGAGCACAGTCATACAGGGGTATCGCTAAATCCACATTTCATATCCTCTTCCAGCGCCATGGCTACATATGTACATCTTACATGACCAGCCATATCTTCGTCCCTCAATGCCAACATCCTTCGGTACTCATATACATTTCTTTCGTGAATCATTAGTCCATGCAAAAGATTTGGGTGACGTCCAATTTGTGAGAGGATCGCCGACGGTCAGTATCCGATCAGTCAGCATCCCGGTGATGCTTCTCCCGTAATAATTGACCTCACGTCGCTCACCAACCGAGGGCGAGGAGGTATGTGAGAGACAATCCTGTCTCATTTCTAGAAGCACAGTGGTATCCAAGTCAATGCGGTCGGTGCCTTCCGTCAGAAATTGGATTCATCAGCATGCCGGCTTGGATATTTCGGGAGTCCATCTCAGAGCCAGGCAGGGGCTCTTCTGCCTAAGCTCCGCCTGGGCTCTTGTTCTCGAAGCATAAACCCGTGGTCAAGCACGGATTCCTGTTTGTATGAAATATATATCTGTGCGTTCCCTGCTCGTCATCTTCTTCCTGCTTCTCCGTCGCTCCTCGTCTGCGGACTGAACATTGAACTAGCTGAGTATCTTGACAACAGCGAGACGGTCGAAGTTGGTGATCGCAGACTAGATCCTGAGGATGATGCTCCGCTCGCGGGTTGCGCATTGGATGTCTGTCTGGTTTCGTGCTTTGGCTCTTTATAAAACATGGTAAATCGAAGTGTTTGGTACCTCATGTTCACCAGGAGCAGGCTTTGGGTGAAGAAAGACAAAGGATCAAGTAACAGAAACGAAGGGCTTGAATGAATGACTTGGGAACGTTGGAACGCGAAGGACCAAGGAAGAACTGAAAGTATCCTTCACCCCTCAACTTCCCGACCGATCAGCCGGCTGTTGAATAATATGTATCCTACTTGTGGTCGAGTTCCGCGGGTCAAAGAAACCATAGGTGACGGGGACTCATCATGATGACGCCGAAGACGCCCAACGATTTGTGGAGGACGAATCTAGAAATGAGGACAAGGAGGGGACTAGGAAAAACTCGGGCTGGGTTCGGAACCGCGACCTCTGAATGGAGAGTCTACTCTACCCCGTCCTCGCCATACATGGTCAACGGTATAGACCACGTGATGTAGTATCACGTGAGCGACCATCGACCCATATTGAATGCGACTGCGTACAGTATCCAGGGCAAGGGTCCTTGCTCAAGCCCAACCCTTCGCGGCATCGGCCACGCTGTCCTCCAAGCTCGTCCATGCGGGTCTTCCAAATCGCTTCACGATTTCCTCCGCCCTCTCGTTTGTGACCTTGCTGAGATCCCTGCCGAGATCAGGGATATCATCCATGAACTTGTGTTCAGGATACAATTTCCTGTATATGGCAAGGATATCATTCCAATTGAATGGGTAGGCGAAGTCGTACAAGCGCTCCCCTTGGACGTCCGGAAATATCAAAGCCCCAACGTGAACGCGGGCTGTGTCTTGGACGTTGACATAGTACTGTGGGGGGTTGAACTTGAGTTTCTCTTGCCCTTTGAACTCATTCCAGAGGGCTTTGAGCCAGCCGACTGTGCTTGGTGCCCCTTGATGCTCGGGTGAGAGGACCAGACCCATATTGCAGTTCGGGAGGACGGTGTTCAAAACAAAGTCAGGCTTCTCCTCTTTCACGAACCTCCACGCAGCTTGCTCGCCCTGTGTTTTACTAGCCGAGTATACATCGAGTTTCCTCTGTTCGCCCTCATAGGGAGGAGGAGTCCAGGCTGCTTTTACCGCTTCGTCATTCCAAGTGGATTCATCTGCGCTGAATTCAATGTTTGGCTTCGGACTGATCGCTGCAGTGGAAGACGAAGTCAGGACAAAGCGTTTGATTGAGGGCTCACTGGCCGCAGCCTTGAGCGCGTTCACTGTGCCATTCACCACGATCGGAATGCCTTCATTTGGATCGTACGACACCATGACCGGTGTAGCCGTGTGAATGAATCCGGAGGCGCCTTTCACTGCTTCGTCGAAAGCTCCATCCGCGGCCATTTCCGGCACCTCAATCAACTCGAACTTGCCGGCACCATATTTGTCTCCAAAATATCCAATTAACCATGCGGACTTCTTTGCGTTACGGACGCTTCCCCTGACACGATAGCCAGCCAGCAGAAGCTGATCAACAACATGGCTTGCGATGAAACCGTTCGCTCCGCTCACGACGACAAGACTTCCAGCGGGGATGGCGCGTTCTGTCATAGAACTCATGCTCTTTGCAGACAGGATGAATTTTGTTCACAATCTGATAGCGTTGTGTACTCACGGAGGTCGCTATAGCTGCGCAAGATGGGATTTTGACAAGTTGGGCAAGAGCATCTTTACATCCTTCCACCATCTTCTGGATGCACCATATAAAGTACTGTCGAGGACTGGCACCTCGTCACGAGGCATCTTGATTATTCATGCAGCGTGCGAGTTGGAAGCAGAATTACGAGGACGATCTATCAAGATTTTGCGTTATTTCAAGACGAGTCAATCTCTGAGCACCATGAATTCAAGAACCCACGACAGCCAATTAAAGGAGAGAGAAGTTTAACCCGGACTAGCTATTCTACCGAGACGCATGTTCCGATTGGCAGATTCTTGCAGCCTCGCGACTTCGATGCTATTCCGGCGAGGCAGCAAGTTGGTCAACTCTTCCAAAGTTAGAGGCCTTCAATCCTACCTCTTTCACTTCGTTGGGTCTCCATTGGTCACTGCGCGGGTTTCGCTAAGGTAATGAGGTAAGTTGTGAAGTAAGTTGTTACTTGAGTAACGGGTTTATAGTTGTTCAGGAGTTAGTGAACACTGTTTTAACAAGCTGTACCAGCAGCGTGCGATCATCTGGATTTGGATGTTCACAAGCGCATTTTTGTCATGGCCGACTTCAGTCTCGTGTTCAAAAAGGAATCCCATTTTTCTCCGGGCACTTTGCATAGCGCCTGCCGAATGCGGTAGGCCTGGGTGCTGGCGGGCTACGATGCAGAAACTTGACCATTCAATTGTTCAGGCCTTCCACCTTCATGGCTAGAAGGGACAACTTTTGCCTCCGCTGCTGTGACCGCTGCAATTCAACAGGGTCTGATGATGCGCCTCTAGCCAGGGTTTGATTTTTGGCGGGGCAATTCTCCCATTATCAAGACTGCGGCTATCCACGTTGCTACTTGGTACACGAGGCTGGAAAGCTGATCAAATCGGATTTAAGGCGGAATTCCACCTAATTGTCAGCCTTGCTGAGCATGAAGGCGGGTTCCGGCGGATCCACACGAGTTGGTGCCTCGCTTCAGCATCGACAAGCATGCCATAGGCTGGGCCAATCTCGGGCAAAAGCCTTGCATCTTCGAAGCCTGTTCTCGGCTCGGAGAGAACAGGAAAGGATCAGGAGTATTAGATTACAATATCCCGGGGCCAAATTCCAGACACCACGCGCAGGCATTCTTGAACCCACCATCCTAGAATCCGAGAGTCTCAAGCCTGTGTCGAAGTGGCTAGAACCGCGCCTGTTTATAAAGAACTTTCCTTGTGCCTCAGCGGTCTCTATTTTTCGCAAGCTGAGTCATCGGCAACTGAAAGGTTCCGGATACCTGTTTGGAATTGGGTTCAACACGTTGCACGTTGTAAGGGGCAAATCTTCAATGTAAAGCCGATGCGTTATTAGCGCATATAGTCGGGGAAGGACAGACCCATATATCGATCGTACTGAGGAAACATTCAACACCCACATTCATTTTCATCTCACGTCTCTCATCATATATCCCAAAGGTGATCAATTGCATATGCCTGAACAGTCGAAGAAGAGAAATGCTTCGGCAAAAATTCCGGAGCACGTCTTCATTGACCAAGGCCCAGAGTCGTTCCAGGTTGCTAAATCCAAATTGGTCTCCAGTCAGGCACGGCGATTTCAGAGTGCAGGAAAACGCCAACGGCAAAGGCTTTCTGCGCGGCAAGGTGCTGGATACGCTCGAAGCTTGGTTGGATGGAAGTCGACGTCGTCAACGCCGCCGGTCGAAAGCCCAGAAAAGATGTCACCATTGAAAAGCGGTACACCTAAGCAACAATTGACTGAGCAAGGCGAGTCAAGTGAGACACAGATGAGCCTTGCAATCCAGACCGGACTACGAGCAGATCCATTCAGTGCTTTTCCTGGTTCGAATACAAAGGCAGTAATGTCCATGGTTGACTACCGTAAGTATGCCTCCGGCGGCCGACCACCTGCGATCTAAGAATCTTGTTGACATTGACTCACAGATATCCATGTATGGGCACCACATAAAGCTGGCAATTTTGACGATCTGATGGGATACAATACACAACTCGACCTATGCTGGCCGCTTGCGCTTCAAGATGACATGCTGTTCGATGCAACTGTAGCCGTTAGCCGCACAGCATGGGTTCTTGCTCAGGGCAATAGTCCATCAGAGGACCAGCTGATGCTCTACCATCGTGGTTTAGCTATGATGAGGTTACGACAAAGGGTATCTTCCACCAGCCCTGGGCCTGAGGAAGCTGTCATCTTTACGGTCGGGCGTATGATTAGTATTGCGGTAAGCTTTGATTACACCTTTTTGTAGGTGCGAGCACTAGGTGACATCTAACAGTACATGTCGAGCGAGGCCGAAGCATTCGTTGCCCATTTCGAAGCCTTCCAAAATATAGCGCAGCATTATATTGACGACCACCCCGACAGTGCCGTTGCTCGCGTGGTCGGGAACAGGTTAGAGAGGTGAGTTTAAAACGTCCTCGAGCATTCCCAGATTGCGGAAATGATTGACATTACCTAGCTGGAAAGCGCTGTACGGCTACCGGAATCGAAAGATTCTCCTTCACAATGACAGCAACAAGTCAGAATCAACGAACAGGGAACCGCAGTCAAGGCAAAGTACTCCGCCTAGCCACCAAATGCGTGCACAATCCCCAACGCTACTATCCGGGCTAGATCTATCAGTTGAACTCGCCGCATCGCTGAATACGATGCAACGGCTGTTGGACCGAATACTGACATTTCAAAGCCTTGCTGGGCAGACTAAACGAGCTCTAGAACTAATTGAACGATGTCGTCAATTCAGCCACATTTTGCACAGGTACGACAACCTCAGTCCAACGGAGCTGCAGTTGTGCTGTGCGCTCGTTGTGTTCTGTCAACAACTTTACCTTCACCATCTCACTGAGGGCCCGGACGCACAGGGAGAGAGGGGATATGGGTCTGAGCAGTTTGACTTCTTGCCCGCTATAGCGGACATTGCCAGTACATTTATCAACAAGCAGCTCGAGGGTTTCTCCGAGTCCGCCGAACAAAAGATGTGCTTGACCTGGTCAGCCATGGTGTTGGGAAGTTTCCTGCTCCAGCACTCGGACAGCCGCCTGCGGACCAAAGGCCATATCATCCACGTCAATCTGGGCCTCAACCTCGGCGTGGGTTTCTCCGGCGAACATTTGCCTTCTGGCAGCACCTCTCTTGCTGATGAGGACAACGGCTGGACCGTTCTCGAATCTCTGCTCTTCGGGCCATCGAAAATGGGCAGTCTTTGGTACCCGGACCTCGCGCTGCAATGGCGCCGAGACTGGCAAGGGTCAGTCAAAAGGCAGAGACGATGGGAACAACAGGGAGTGTGGATGCTAGGTGCACCGAAGAGAATACCTTGTGAATATGGTCCGGGTCGGCCAGGGAGAGAGAGTGGGAGCAGCCCCGGGGGAAAGGGCAAGAGCAAGCGGCCGGCAACGGTGACGGCGACGAGAACCGCGCGCCTGCCTTTTCCTAAACTATCACTCGATCAGGATGGCGAGGTCGATGTGATTGAGTATCTTGTGCTAAGGGAAGCGAGAGACTCGTTGCCTAGAGTCGAATGAGCGAGCTCCGCAGGGACTGAAGAAACTGCCGCTATATCACCTGTACATTATTGTTGTTGCTATAATTGATTAGTACAAACGGCACTGGCACTGGCACCACGTATGGCCTATTGGTGACGTCCTGACCATTTATTCTTTTAGATCTCCCCGGTCGTGTGTTTGTCTTCCGGGTGACGAAGCGCACTTAACAGTCACTTTCCAAGCTCTCCGGTACGATCAAGTGGTCTCATGCTCTGTTCTCTCTTTCCAACCCTCTCGCTATCCCACACTTGTCTCCCACGCCTAGATGTTCACCACCCTTCACCACCCTTCACCACAGCTCTCACCCTTTCCCCCCCTGGCCCCTGAACCTCGTCCTGGCTCAGACTCACCCACACCTCCCTTTGCTACATCTCGCCACACTGCACGATCCTGACATCTAACACGGGCCTCTCGCCCTGCCCCCGCCCGCCTGGCCCGGCAGTCCTTGTGTTCTCAATCATGCGGACGACCTTTAGGGAATCTTCGTCTGCGACCTGGCCGAAGACGACGTGCTTGTTGTCGAGCCAGGGCGTGGCGGCGCAGGTGATGAAGAACTGGCATCCGTTGGTGTTTGGGCCCGAGTTGGCCATCGACAACAACCCGGGCCGCGTGTGCTTGATGGCGAAGGATTCGTCCGCGAAGGCCGTATTGTTGTAGATGCTCGTGCTGCCCGTGCCGTCTGAGTGAAGGAAGTCGCCGCCTTGGATCATGAAGTTCTTGATCTAATCCCCAACCCACCCCAGAGGAGGAGCGGTGCTGTTAGTTGTGGATTCAGTTGTTGAAATAGGTGGGAAAAAAAGATAAGGGGAGAGAAGAGGGTAGTAGAGAGCGGAGAAAGAGGGAGGAAGGATCACGGCAAGAGATAGTATCCCGCTCCCAGACTGGCATTCAGGTCTATTCTACCACTCGTTCATCCATTCCGCCATCCCTTCCTTGACCTCACTCCCAGGCATAACGACAATTACCTCCCTCGACCTGCTTGCCAGGCTTTTTCACGCTTCCCTTCACACCGTGACACTCCATTCACGCCGAGCGGATTTCCGTAGCAAAAAAATGTGCCAACAGAAAGAGAGAAAAAAATGAACGAGAATCGCGAAGACAATACTCACCACGCGGTGAAACTTGCTGCCTTTATACCCCATCGGCTGGGCGCCCGGTCCTTTATGCTCTCCTGTGCAGAACTGGCGGAAATTCTCTGCCGTCTTGGGCACCGTGTTGGAGAAGAGGTGCATCTTGATGCGTCCTAGGGGCTCACCTGGATATCATTTAGTTAGAGAAGAGCAGTAATTGAGGGAGTCTGGCGGCAGAGAGGGGGTGGTATTGGAGGGACCATAGCTACAGGAGTTGTAGCGACGTAGACGGCGGCGAGAGGGCATCCTCAAGACAGAGGAAACAGAAGAGGACGGGGACTGAGGGTGAGTGAGATCTGAACAACACAGATCTCCCGCCGCGTACGCATTTCGAGGCCTTGCGCTTTCGTGCAGGAGTATGGCGTTGAAAACCTTTCCTCCTTCTTCGCAAAGTGCACGCCGCCGTATGCTATGACCACAATGGAGAAGCGCAGATGATCAAAGTAAAATCTTACCGCCGATCTGGATATCGAAAAAAACAATCGGCTCGCCCTCGCCCGGTTTGGGAACGGGGATCGCGTCCGTCGCCATCTTGGAGGCTACGTATTCGTGTCGGTTGACTAGGGCGAGGGGAGGCGAAACGAAGCGAGAAGCGGAAGGAGAACGAACGATCTGTTGAGGGAAAAAAAACTAATATGTAGTTAGGTTCCGTTGTTGTAGAGGTTGTTGGATATAATGAATTTTTTTATTGATCGATGGGTGGAGAATTTTTATTAGACAAACTGACGAGGCTGCAGTGGCAAGGGATTTACACAGCCACTCGTAGTTATCTTTACAACCAGGGAAGCGGTCCAACTTGGTCATCTAATATTGGGATTGGGATCACCATTGCTCGATGAAATGATACCAGAGTGAATGGAAAAGAGGGATCTCAAAACTTTGAATCCTGGGGAATCTCATGATCATATCAACAATTACATAAAAGATGGTCGTCACTCGGATCATCACTTGGTCCTCAAACTCAGGCTTGAAAGGCACTATCCTCCACCAACGCCTGTGCTTATAACAATTTGAAATCTCAGTAGGCGGCAATGTCACGCCGCTTGTCTTCTCGCCGCCAGAACTTGAGACCTTTCTTTTTCTTCTGTTCGCTCGGCTCCAGCGGAGGTGGGATAACGTACGGCACTTTCCGCGAGCCTTCCTCTTCGGCTGACAATGACCTGTCCGGCCACTTGGATTCTGGTATTTCCCCTATTTTAGTGCTGGCAGTCATGAATGTCATGGTTGACGTCGGGCGCGCCCGGGTCTGTGCTGGGTTGGGGCGGCTATGAAGCGGGATTTTTGGCGGTCGAGGTGGAGGTTGCTGGAATACAGCTGGCTCGGGATGGTTCTGTGCATTTTCGAAGAAGTCCGCAGGCACAATAAGCATGCTCTGTTGACTCTGTGGTCTGGGCTGCTCGCTTGACTTGCATCCGTTAAGTGTCTTTGATTCTTCGAGTCGGCCTGGGGCAGTTTTACAGGTACAGCCGGAAACCTCGCTGGCCGATTCTTCCCGCTTTGGCTTGGTGTCGAAGGACCGGGATGCCGACGACTTCGACACTGTGGAATCGGAATTGGAACGCTGATGCTTCTGTGACTGCTGTCCCCTTGCCTTCTTTGCGGCTGCCCCAGAGACAACCGAAGAACCGCTTCTGGACCTCACCCAGCCACCGCGGACCAGTAATGGCGTCGGAGGTGGCCGTTTGGTCTTTTTGGTTGATGCCGTTGAATTAGACTTGCGTTCCTTGTGAGTATGCTTTTCGACAGATCTTCGGCTCTCCTTGGACTCAAGAGCTAGCCTAGATGATGAAACTAGGCTGAGGCGGGAACTAAGCTGTCCGATAGCGCTCATTGTGTCAACAGCGGCGGTTTCAGAAAGATTAAGCAAGGTCCTTTGAGAGGAAGATATGGTCCTAGGGTCTCCGGAAAGGGCATGATTGATCAAGTTGATCAGTCCCGTGTTGAGGACAAGAAGGGTATGTGCCAGACTTGACTGAGCAGCAGTGTCACCAACTTCAAATTGGCGGCCGAATTTTGCCACTTGGTGATCGTATTCATGTTTGATCTCCACAGGCCGATTCTTTAGTGAGTGCTGTAGCCATTGTTCCTCCTCAGATGGTCGAGGGAGTCTCGCACTGGTTTTCCTTTTCTTTCCTCCCAGACGATGGAAAATATCCATTCCACTGCCGAAAGCCGAGATGATGGAGCTCACCACGGAGGAAACATCAATTCCACCCATATTGCTGGACGCCTCTCAGAGCGGCGGATATGGTACCTCTGATCTCACATCGCCTTTAAATGGAGAAGCAGACAGGGAGAGGAGCTTACATCGACTGATCAATGATAGGATAAATAACGCCTGTAAAGAAGGCAATGGTAAAACGAAAGATGAGGAGCCGAGAAGCAAAATGAGGAAGGCAACCTCCCAGCCCTCGGAGCGAGGCTTCTGATGTTTGGCTGGGAGAAAAGGTCCAGCTCTAGGAATCGCGAACTTGAGACCCTGCATGTGCTTTTTCCAGAGCCTCGAATGGCGGTTGCAGGAATGTTTTCCTCCGGTCAAGGAACTGGTGCATACCTAGGTACAAAGCCCCGGTGGATTGAGGGGAAGAGCCGTCAGCTATTACGAAAGAGGTCCAAGTCTCACTTGACCTGGTATCTGAGTGGTAGAGGACTCGGGCGGATGCAGCGAGGTCAGCCAGGGCGATTGTTCCAGGCGCTTGCAGGTTTGGAGCTCCATCGAATCGCCTGAATAGAAAGCCCGCGGGGCGCAGCAGCAGAGAAAAATATATGCACTCGGGCGCATTCGGTCGTTTGCATACGAGGTATGTTGCCGGATTTGAAGAAACTCATCGGCCATGAGCCAGTGATGAAAAGAAGACAAGGAATAAAGCAATCAACTCAGGCTCAATTTGTGATAGGGCCCCGTGACGCTGCCCGTCGTCTTAGCTACGGCGTGGCTGCTGGGCTAGTAAGCTTAACCATTGGCCTTGCTCGGCGTGCCTATACCCAGTAGCAATTTAGGTACACTTACTTACTTGGTAGGTACACTGTAGGCTACTGCTCACTGTTTCCTTGGCCTTGTACTTCGTCCTTACCTAGGCACTTTGGACCCTGGGACTGCCGGGGCCCCACTTCCGCTTAACGCTCGTCAAACCTTGCCACCCACAATCCCGAAACTGCGGATTGTTGTTAGTCGATCAAGATCACAAAGTCGAGCCCTAGGTGGAGGTAGTGCTCTATCCTGCTTTGCGCGCTGTCCTCCGAACTTGTATGTCGCTGCCGTTTCCGCTGCCGCCTTGATCCGGCACTACAGCAATACCCTATCGAACATTGTTGGCGACCATGTCTTCTATGGGGCCACAACTCCCTTCGCACCTGCAAAACCGCAAGAGAAGCCATGATCATGACGACCATGACGACCATGACGACGAATCGTCCGACTCCTCGACTGGCCCTCTCCCTCCCTCTTCGGCGAAATCTGCTCAAGAAGGCACAAACCCCGCCGCAAAGCGACCTCGAGTCATCGGTCCAACCCTGCCACCAGCACCTTTGGACGAACGCCCGCCCTCAGGGCCTGCGCGAGCAGCCGACGACGGGGACTCTGACACAGATGATGACGATGGTGATGATGATTTCGGCCCCAGGCTACCCTCAGCCAACAACCACCCTACAAAGTCTTCCGCACCTTCGGCGATAGGTCCGCAAGTTGCTACAGCTGCAGCGTCATCGGCGCCGGTAAAGCGCGATGAATGGATGACATTGGCGCCATCCCACGGAGACTGGTCTGCAAGAGTTGATCCTACCAAATTGAAGAATCGTAAATTCAACACTGGACGGGGGGCAAAGGGCCCTTCACAAGCTACCGGCGGTGGAGGGGATGCTTCCTGGCATGAAACCCCAGAGGAGAAGCAAGCAAGATTGAAGAGGGAGGTCATGGGTATTGATACCGCTTCTACCTCAGCCAGATCATCGAAGTCGGGTTCAGCAAGCAATCCTCACGATGAAGCCACGGCGCGAAGACTGAAAGAATACAGTGTAAGTGACATCCTTCCTTCAGGAAAAAGATCCTCCTTTTGCTTCTACTTCCCTTTCTCCTGCCAGATTGCCTGGCACGTATCATTTTGCCACACCCAATTGTGCCTTGCGCCTTGCGCCTTTACATCCCACCCAGTTCACCTGCTCACCAGCTCACCACCCTTTGCAGGACACCCAACGAGGACCATCCCTCTACGCCACCCACACCGCCTCCCAGAATAAGCCTCTGGATGATGATCCCAGTGCCCGTGCCTTTGATCGAGAAAAAGACGTTGGGGCTGGTTCGACAATCACCGCCACTCAGCGCAGGGACATGATAAACAAGGCCGCAAACTTCTCATCGAGATTTGAGAAGGCGAGGTATCTGTAAGGTAATATGTGCTTATCACCAACGCCTGGTATGTAGCATCGGTAAGCTCCCGCAGTGGCATGCTTTGCAAAATCCAGTTTGAGCTCAGTCCAGCTTTCCGGGCCCTCGGGCGCAGTTGCTCTCCCGAGACGTCCCCTGTAAAGAGTGGAGAGAGGCGCTGACGATCAAGAATTGGGCTGCTCTTTATTGCCTACCAGAAGGGCAAGAGGTAGCGATACTCGGTGCTTTCACCTAATCAGTGGCACTTTGGGGTGTCGGCGTCACCCAAACCACTTCGGAATCCGATGGGCAAAAGTCGAGATTGCACACCGTTACCATTGAGCGGAAAAGGCGCAACTTACATATGAACCGGAGCCACGGATGGCGGTGTACAGTCAACGGGCGCAACCAGATGACGGATGTTCTCTCAATGCGTGCTCTGACGGTGCCGCCGTCTCCACCCAGATTGCTCTTTCTGTTCTCACTTCTCTTGAGCTCTGGCTTTGGCCGGGGCTCCGGCCTTGCTACGAGCAAGCCAAATTTTCGCTGCTGCAACGGTCCTCTTCGGGTCCAATGGGAGAAAATCATGGCCCGAGCGCATTTTCCTGGTTGGGCCGATGTCTCTCGCATTATTTCCTCGACACGGCAATAACCCTGTCAGACACCCTAACACCTCTAGCTTGAACACTCGGTACCCCACAGCCTTTTAGCAGCTTTGGATTCAAATTTATTACCATTGTCTTTCAGACAAGAAAGCCGTCTTTGGGGTTTCAAGAGACGAACCGCCCCCCGCCGCTTCAAGATGATTAACCGGGCAGACTCCGGATCAACGGTATGGATTTTCCATGCATACTCCTTCCTGGAGGCAGTAACCTCCTCGCCGTCACCTTGCTCTCATACCCGACGGCCAACTCTAGTCTTGAAGCAACACCGCCATTGCCGACCGACCATTTCTAAGCGATCGCTTGGAAATCCGGCCCCAAGGATGACTTAGCACGCTATTCACCTGCCCTTTTGGACGAGTTTCTCTTGAATGAGGGCCCAAGCTGCGATGTATCTACAAGCAGTAGTATCCCTCCGCTGCGGTTCCGGATTGGCAATGCTACGCGGCTGCGCCGCTGCAGGGTCTACAAAACTGTCTTCCGCATCATACTGCCGCGTACAAATACCGTATCCCTAGTCGACATGTTCAATGATGATTCCTAGAACGTCCTTTCTAGGAACATGAACCAACCCACGATGCAACGGATAGGACAACACAAGCTTTTGGGCCCTGACAAATAATCCCTAGCCTTATTCCCACCTCCCCCAAGCGGGTTGGAGTATGACATGCTCGCAGTGACCACGATGCACCGAGTACTCCTAGTTTCGGCCTCCAGTTTCACATCCTTCTGGAACAAAACTGAGAAGCGAAAGTGCAAGGAAGAGGGCTTCAGGAAGAGTGCATGCATACAATATGAGCATCCTATTACCAACGCCACAAACCGGAAAGGGTATATTCGCACCGTGATGTTTGTGGCTCGTACTCTGTACCACTCTGTACCTCTAGTTTCTCTACCTACCTAGGTAGGTATGTACCGTGTACCTCTGGTATACACCTAGTACCTCTTGTCGCTGTGGTCCTTCGGCCTCGTCCTCATCGTCACTGTTTTTTTTTTGGTCTCTCGAACTGTTTCCATCTTCTCCCCCTGCCTTCCTTCCAATCGACCAACCGGCCAATCATGCCCCTGGACCAGGGGCTGTTTGCCTTGTTCGGTTCCCGCATTGCTTGCGTCGCTCGCCCGGCCCCTAGTCGGTCATGGCCGATACTAGCTAGCTAGCAACGGCGCTGCGTACGTACGGTATGTGGTACCTTGTACTCGGTAGATAGTTAGTAGGTATGAAGTCAACAGCTCAATCAATTCACTCAACACTCAATCATGATCAACCAGCCAACCAAGCCTTTCCAATACTGGTATCGAACTGTTTAAAGTGCCCCCCGGAAAGGACTACAAGTTGTTTGTTTCTTTGTTAGCTACGTAACACTCGTATCGTGTTGCTGTTGCTTGCATTGGTCAGACTGGGTCGGCCAGCCGTCCTGCCCAGCCCTGCCCCTGGCGTGTCGCTGCCTTGCTTCACTAGCCCTACGAGCCGGCTCAGCCCTATTAGTTTCTCGCAGCACTTGCCACTGTACTTACCTACCTACCAAGTACTTGCCTAGTACTTTAGCGGTGTCCCTGGGACAAAAGTTCCCCTTCAAGCGCTGTTTGACTTCAGGATCTCGGCGTCGGCGTCGGCATCTCATCTGTTTGTATCACATCACTCTCATCGCCACCATCATCATTACCGCCTTCTTCATCGTCATCAAGAAGGTCGGAAAGTTCCGAAGGGGGCTTGTGTACGCCACGATGATATGAATATGACATGTCATAAAGACCGCCACTACACCGCCTAGTACGGGCAGGACATACTGTATTATCATACTCCGTATCTGTGCTTGATTTAATTGCTGCTCATAGCAGTCACTTTCGTCAGGATCAACCTGCGACAAAGATAGATGTTAGTAAGGCCAGCGGTTCCTCTCCTCTGTGATTCTGACTCAAACGTCATCTCACACATGCCCCCCGGCACACTCCCCCTTCCCAGCCTGCAGAGGGAGCGGATCCGGCAAGACAGTCTACTTGGACTCGGCTGAGTATCCTTGCCTGCTCTGCAAGTTACCGCGGCTGGAATTAAGGTGATTACAGAGTAGTCATCGTCTCAAATAGCCAGCGTTCGTAGAATCGTCACCATTCACATGCAGCCAGGTACGTGTCGGCCAATGTTCAGAGGCCGAAACCACTTGTCTCCATCCTGTAGATGCGAAGGGGGCCCCTTTTTGTCTTTTTCTCACTGCTTCTGTCGTTATCAGCTCATCATCCTTGCCCCCCTCCCCCATCCATGGTCGAACAACTGACCCCAGCCATACGTGTACCAGGACTCTCTGCAAGCTCCGATTTCGTTGTCTCCCCGGTACTCGATCCTTGCCTTCAACCGGGTGCCTTCTTTCCCTCTCGATCTGCTGAGGTAATTGTGGATTTGCGGTTCCACTCAAAAAGACCAAGATGCGGTCTGCTTCTTCAGCTCATGTTCGAAGAAGTGGAGGGGGCGGAGATCGAGGTTGTCGCTGAGACGAAGGAAGAAAGACCACTGCAAAGGGTTTATCCGTTTGGCCCACGCTTCCCGTTACAGACACAGAATTGATATGTATGGCGTCTCAAAATCCTCTAGCGATTTGTTGCCAAATCTTATGTGGTAATGACTGTGGGCATTTTCGGGTTGGAATAGTGTATCCCGTTTTAGGACCTCAGGCCAGCAACAATGGTTTCAGATGGGGGACCAGCCTTCCGACCCCCAAATGATCCGATGCTGTGCGGTGACGCATCCAACGCCACGGCTTTGAACGGCTATCACAAGGCATGCCGCCGGTGATGCTCGAGAGATCTGTCTGTTTGCTGTTGCTGTTTGCAGTTTCTTCTCCTGCACACTAGGTCACGAAAGGAGCCCAATTCTCACATGACTTGACTTGCAAAGATTTTTCCAGCAATGCCATATCATCTTTATCTCATACTGTTGTTTTGGGTCGAAGAATCAGGGTTTCTTTCGACGGTGCAATCCCACAGTGACACCCCGTAGATAGTGGTCGGACACCACCTCCTTGGTATCCTCCAATGCGGATGATTCTGCACAATGGCTGTCGGCCGTCAGTATCTAAGGCTATCACAGGCCGGAAGGGTGTTCAGACACTTACCCATTGAGCTGAGGGCGCAAAGGGACAACTCTGTAGGTCAATGGTGTCCTGCAACAAAGGAGTTGAATCGTAAGGGGATGCCAGGTAATTGAGAGCTGCTTGTGTACTTTGTTTATCCGTGATGAACGCCTCCACTGGCCGGATGAGATCCCGCTCATCTTTAAGACCGGCGCGTTTGTTGTTGATGGACCGGGTATTTTCGATCTTGATAATCTTCCTCGCGATCAGGTATGCCGTACAACTAGTCCAATTGTTCTCAACCACCCTCAAGGAGTTCAAGTGTTTCAAGGCCGCTAGGCGTGTAACTGGATCCCGGCACTTTGTAGCCGTGAAAAATAGAGGGGGAATGTACCCTATGTGGTACTCGAGATTGCCCATGCCGTGGAAGTACTTGGAAGACTCGTCTTTGGCCCACGTATCGGCAAAATCGTCGTATTTGTCCACAATCCACTTGAACTCCTCTGTGTACTGTTCGTAGACACTCTCCTGCCTGCTCGACGACACTCGAAGCATCACTGACAGCATTGTGTAGTGAACCCTGAGCAGCTGGAGCGCTAGACCGTACCGTTGTCTTCGAGTATCGATCAGGCTTGCTTCGAATGATTCAAAATGCATGCGCCAAGATTCCAGCAACATTTGAACTTTGTGGGGAGGGGATGGTCTCCATTGCGCTCTTCTGTAGTCCATCATTCTTGCAATGTGATGCCCAATACCGTCCAGAGCATGATGAGCTCTGTGGATTTTGTCAAAATGTTCGACCCACGGTAGTTCAGCGCTCGTTTGAATCAGGGTTGTACATGCGCACTCATTGATTGGAAGGTCTGCCATGCCGTATGTTGGTGCCTTGTCGATGTAGGCAAGGAAGATGGGAGCTATGGCTTGAATTATCAATTTTGCAGTGGGGGAAAGCTGCAAATCCGAAGTCCGGATAGATTTGACCCATTCATCTATAATGTTCAGACCAGCCTGTATGTGCCGTAGTCCAGGGAGTGCTGAACCCTTCATAAACTCGCAGCAGGCGAACAGAAGACAGGCCATCAGAACGCTTTCAATCTGAGGAGACGAACAAGTGGCTTGGATGGCCTTGGTATAGTGGGTCTGATAAACTGAGTTCTTTTCGAGCGGTACACCTTCAAGGGCAGACGCCTCGACGACAGATGAGGTGGCAAGCAGCATGTGCTTGACAGCGGGTTGGACAACGCCAATTTTTGGCAAGAGCTCGGTCCAAAAAGAATGGCCTATTGGCAAGAATGAGTGTCGGGAAAGGGGGGAGGCAGGCTAATGGCACCATAGGAGGGTAGGACGTACCAAAATAAGAGGAAAAGATGGGAGCGGCTTCTTCATTCCAAAACTGGAATGAGCGTCTGTCGTCATAGTCGCCAATGGGCGCAAGAGGAGAAACCAGTTGAACAATTGCCGTTGGTTTGTTGATGATTTCCTCCTTAGTTTCGGACACCTTTCGAGGCTTGAACAGCCACGTCTGAGGCGGTTGATAGCCTTCGCATTTTCGCAAAGAATCGGTACATTGTCGACAGGCGGGTTTTCCCTCGTCACATTTTATTCGACGCTTCTGTCCGCACGAGTTAGATCCAGCAGGATGAAGCCAAACATAATCAATCGGCACCCGAGGGGAGGAAGAAAATGGGTGCGCACTGATAGGCAAAGTGGTAAAAGGTTGGGGAAAGGGTGAATTTGGGACCGCCTACCCTGCAGGTCATACACCCTGTCTTCACCTTCTGATGCGGTCGTTTGGCACGCCCTTGAGCCATGATGCCATAGCAGAGTTCAAGGATGTTGTTTAGAAGTTCAAAGAAAAGAGGGAGACAGAGCCACGGGCACAGCGATGTAATTGTAGCCAGAGATGAAGGGAATGAGGTCGAAAGGGAAGTCCCGAAGTCGACGGAAGAATGTGCCTCTTGGGCTAGTTCATTTAGAGCCCTACTCGATCAGGAGTTGGTCGGCACTAGTCATTCGGTATCGGCTGGCGCGAGTAATAACTAAGGGAAACCTTGGAGAGATGCCGATCTGATCATCTATTTGCTGCTGTTGGATGCTTCTGGGTTGGGTACCTGTTGACCTGTCTGGGTCGAAAGTTTGCCATTTGTTATATTGTACAGATAGGTCTTCTAGGCGATAGCATGTTCCTCTATTGCTGTTTTCCCCTGAGACTAATTCCTGCCGTGGTTAACCTTTGGCATTTTCACATCTTCTGTTGTCTCGACTGGCTCTGCATCAACCTAGCGTGGAAAAAGGGCCCAGAGCACTTGCCCCCCCAATGGTCGGGGGCTGATGGCTGATAGAGGAGCAGGGCAAGGTACCAGGGGGGATGGGCTTGGGAAGACCACTTTACCTGGGTGCCCGTGCTTGATCAGGCGTGTACAGTGCGTGCCAGGTGATGCATGCTTACGCATCTACTTTCTCATCTGTGATCATTCTCTCCCCGGCCCACTGGCGAATTCATTGGGCTGAGAATGCAGGCGCTGACTGATTTGCTGGCCGCAATGGGAGTTTGATGTGCACGGCGGGTTGATTGGTTTCAGGATCGTGAATCAATGCAAATACCCCTTCAATACAGGCCGATACCGTAGCATCGCACAGCCAAAGCAATAATCCCAGGCATGGCGCTAGGCCCTAAGGTAACGGGACCCCGGAAGGACGGAGGAATTGGGAGGCTGAGGCGTGTGAGGCGACTGAAGGCTGCAAGGGGGCAAAGACGCCCGCCGAAGACTTAGGTCTAGAATTATTACATATTCATACCTTCCTAGGCATGAGCTTAGTAGCCTGGTAAGGCTCCGAGGGCTAGTTTCCGGGGGCCCTTCTGAGTGACCATGCTGAGGGCATCCGCATCTCTCTGCTCATAGCTGACTTGGCGTTATTGGGGCTGTTCTTGGTCTTCCGGATTCCGAAGTCCATTCATTTTTCTGCCAGATCTGGTATGTATGTATTTATGTACGACAAGGGAGAGATGGAAGCACACCGAGAATGCGGCGGACGTCGGGGTTAAGAGAAGGGCCCGTCATCTCAGGGAGAAGGCGCTCGGAAGCACGCGAGTTCTCGTAGGTTGTATGTAAGGATAGAGTTGCCAGAATGGAGAACGCAGAAGTGAGATGGACGTAGGACAGAAGTGAACATTGAGTGACTAAGTCGACCTTTTTCTCAAAGTGTCGGACAAAGACTGATGAGCTTCATCTGCAACATAGCTAGGCGCAGTAAGGCTGGGGAGGCTCGAGGGGATGACGGAGAGGTGGACGGGAGGAGGCGAGATGGCGAGAGAGAGGTGAGGGGAAAAGCTGCGGTCATTGCGCTGTGTGCTGCACGGGTGCTGCCACCACTGCTGCTTCCACTTCATGCCACAGTGTTCGCAACAACATTCACTCACCCAACCCAACAACCACCTCAATGTCCTCGTCTATGGAGGTTGGATTCTTGCACCACCATCTTGTTCCTTGAGACACGCTATTTCGCACTCTTTTCCCTTCCATCGCCCCCAAAATGCCTACATCAGTACTGCTCCCCTCGCTGGTCCTCATATTGACCTGCGTGATCAATGTCCAAGCTCTCTACGGCAAATCATCCCCGGTGCTCCAAGTTACAGCAAAGACATACGATTCACTGATTGCACAGTCTAATCATACCTCCGTATGAACTCTCGCCTTTGCCCCTCGTCCGTTTTGTGGAAGTGCCGGTTGGCTGATCGTCGTGTCAGATTGTTGAGTTCTACGCCCCCTGGTGTGGCCATTGCCAAAACCTCAAACCTGCATATGAAAAAGCGGCAAAAAATCTGGCTGGCCTGGCCAAGGTCGCAGCGATTGACTGTGACGATGATGCCAACAAACCCTTCTGTGGTCAGATGGGTATCCAAGGCTTTCCAACTCTGAAGATCGTCAGACCAGGTTCTAAGCCAGGTCGCCCTATCGTCGAGGATTATATGGGTCCTAGGTCGACAAAAGGCATTGTGGAGGCGGTCAAGGACAAAATTGCAAATCATGTCAAGAAATTATCAGGTGATGCTTTGGAGAAGTGGTTGGACGAAGAAGAGGCCCCGGCCAAAGCCATCGTATTTACGGATAAGGGTACAACCAATCCACTAGTCAAGAGTTTGGCCATCGATTTCCTCGGCAGCGTCGCGTTCGCCCAAGTCCGAGACAAGGCTACCGCTCAGAAGTATGAGGTATCTGAATTTCCGGCCATTCGACTTATCCCTTCCCATGGGGCTCCTCCAATTCCATACGAAGGAGAGATCAGTCGAGACTCCTTGGTGAGTTTCTTCAGCCAGGTTGCTCCTCCAAACCCTGATCCGGCACCGAAGAACGCAAAGTCAGCCAAGCCATCAAGCAAGAAGTCCAAGCCGAAGTCCTCATTATCAGCTTCAGCTGCATTCTCGAGAGCTTCAGCAGCCCACAAATCTTCCGACTTTGAGGAGCATCTCGCCGGCTCTAGCACCATCGTTCTTGACGATCACACTCCTACCGAGTCCCCTCTGCCAGTTGTTGAGGCTGAGAAGCCGATGATTGTTCGAGAATCCATTGCCCCGATCCCTACGCTCTCTACTTCCGCGGAAGTAGAGGCTGCCTGTATGATGCCGAGAAGCGGTAATTGCATATTGGTGCTGCTCCCCCCGTCGCAGGAAGCACCTTCAGAATCGGCAACTTCCGCATTAGCAGGCTTCGCTGAAATCGCCGACAAGTATAACAAACGCAAGGCTAGTATGATACCTATTTACGCAGTGCCTGCTGACAACCAGGCGGCGACCCTGATCAGAAATGACTTAGCCCTTGGACCAGAGGAACAGATGGAAGTCGTCGCAACCAATATGAAGAGAGGTTGGTGGAGACGATACTCAAGTGAATCTTACGACGTTACCGACTTGGAAAACTTCGTCGATGCTATCAAACTCGGAGAAGGTTCTAGGTCCGAACTACCCGCTGGTTTTGGTGTAGTGACAGAGAAGGTCTCAAAACCTGGTACCACAGAGACGGTCAGTATTGCTGAACATGTTGAGTCCGTTGAAGGTGGTGAAGGTGTAGCCGACCCTGAACCAGAACAAAGTCCAGAAGCTGAGGCTACTGGTACTGTTGTCAGTGTTGCCGAAGCGGAGCCTGAACCTGATGGTACCCCGAACATGAAGCATAATGAGCTGTGATTTTCAAAGTGAAGAACTTTGGCTTTATTCACCATGTATCAGCTCATCTGGGCTCAGGCAATGCTTTCGATAAGTGACTCTCAGATCTTTATGATCATGCTTCCAGCAAGTCTTACCGCGCTCCATGACAACAACTGTTTCCTCTGTACTCCTCTCTTCCTCTCATCATTCTCTCACTTCCACATCTTCTCAAGTGACTTCTCTCATTTACCTTTTACCCCGGTTTTCAAGCATTCGAAAACTTTTTGGGTGATTTTGAATGACTTTTATTCTTCTTCCTCGATTTAAACTACCTCCAAAGCTCTCTGACATTATCATTTGCTTCTGCTCACCACGTCTAGGCGCTCCTGTTGTCCTTACTGTGCGAAGGGCGGTAAAGGCAACCCCGTTATCTTGATGGACTTAGAGTCTTGGATGATCTGGGTGCCCTGGAATGACACCGCTCCGTCTTTGTTGTGTTTTATCGCGAAGTCTGCATTTGAATTATGGGTTCTGGTCATTCTCTCGCACTTGGTTTGCCGGACGACGCGTGTCCGGCCGTGCCATCACAGATCAACTCTATGATCGACTCATCTCAAAGAACGGAGTTTGGCTCTCAGACCACAAACACAACCTTACAGCGGCCGCGACGATCGCTGTACGATGTCACACCCGAAGTTAACACACAGACAAATCTTGTTTCAGAACATCATCTTGATGTCTCCATGAAGCGACAGGAGGCATCTCAATCCAAAGTTCTGACCGGAATGGGCGATGAATCATCAGCTCCAGTGAGAAATGATTTAGAGGTTCCCGACTTTGTGTCCCAAATTGTCGAACAGTCCCAAGTCGCCGACCCTGAAACCAGGGCCATGACAAAAAAGTGCGAAAACCTCCGTGCCGCCATCAGAAAGGATCTACAGTCTGGTCGTTTCGAGATACCGCCCCTAGCCGTTCAGAATATTAAAGCCCGAACTCACAACCTGGCGGGGTATCAATTCCCTCCGGCTATATTGCCAAGCAGCCTCCCTTCACGACAACGACAACGGTTTGATCGATCGGCACTTCTCCCCGATAGCAATCTTCCATTCTGTGCTCAGATTATGGAACATGTGAAAGACTGGGCGGAATGGGGAACAAGAATTGCAGACGACCAAAGACGGGAGGAAGTCTTAGATCATGTCTTTGCTGTGCTGTCAAAGGCCTGGTTTGAGGCATTACGGCTTGGCTACAATCCTGGCACGACCGGCACCAGAAGGATGGCACCTCAAGGGCCAGTCAAGCGCTCTGCACATCATGAAGAAATTCCTGCTGGTTTACCGCGCGGAAGGCCTCGCTCAAAACGAGAGACAAGCCCCTCCAAAAAGCCCATCTTGGTCGCGAGCCACAGAGACGGTCCTGCTTGGGCAATCACAGTAGGAGAACTGGAAGAAGCTGGCATCTCTGAAGGTCAAATACGAAGACGGGCAGCTGCAAAGGACACTCTGGAAGTTGGCGACAAATTTTTGGATGAAGTCCTCAATAAATATCATGGGAAGATCCAAACAACTGACTGGTTCAGGATCATGGATATCACATATCTAAATCCTACGGGACGAGATCTCATGATCTACTGCCTCTACGAAGTGCTGAGGATACGGAGCAATATTGAGCAGCTATGGAAGTATTACAACTCCTTCACGACACCCAGGCAGAAGAATAACACTAAGAGACGCATCGATGACGAGCAAGAACGCCATAATCTATTCATGGCTCTAGCGTTAGAGCTTAACGAAGGAAAGTCTTCGGCAGGAGATCCAACGGCCTCCAATATCACCACTAGTCAAGAAGGACCAGTAGTCGTTCCCCGAACGACAGCTGCAAATGAAACGGTTCAGCCAAATCAATTCGATACCCTTGTTCAACTGATTGAGACGATCCTTGACGGGACCGATATTGCTTCTATTAATTCCAGCTTTGAGTTCTTTGAGATTTCGCAGCATGACCTTGTCACCGACGTTTTCATCGAAGAGACGTCAAACAGCCTCAGCCGGTGCAAGCACATTTTGAAGGATTTGCTGTTTTTGGCACGAGAGTGGCTCAGGTTGTCAAAGAACGCTGAGCCGCCTATCGAGCTGGATACAAACGTCGATTTGCGTGCACAGGTTCAGAACGCAGAGCTGGAGATACTCGAGAGGAAAATTCTACTCGGGAACCTTCTTCCTTCGCTGATCGTGGAGCGGGAGGTGACCAGGAAAACTGATAACGGAAGCAGCGCTTCGACTAAAGTACATTCGCCTGTCTCTAGCAATCCCGTTCCAACAAATGATAAGTCAGTGGCTGAAGCCGCAAGCCCAGCACCGTCCAAGAATATCGTCAAGCACCATCTCGATCTCGATGATGGAGAGGCTGCATTGCCACCTGCGAAGAGGCAAAAACCTCATCATGAAGAAGACCAACTAGACAGCCCACTTTCTACACTCGGCGACGGGCACGTCAACTGCAACCTCCAGGAGAGTGGCAAGTCAAACATCGAAAACAAGTTGGATGTTTCCGGGGCCCGCCCTTCGAGTACAGCAAGCAAGGAAACATGTCGCAATCTTCTGGTCAGACTTCGCGTGCCGTCTCACTTCAAGCCAATGGATTTCACAAGCAAAAGAGTCTTCTCCCATCCCAAAGGTTTCAAATACCGGTATACAAATGAATCAACCTTGACTCAGCGAAGGTCAATGACAGAAGATCTGGAGACTTATGTGCGGTTTTCGATGACAAAGGGAAAAAACCACGGCCCTGACTTGCGGTTTGGGAAGTACCACGCCTTTACTGATCATTGGGGGGGCAAGGAGACGATTGTCATCCACGGTATTTGGGACTTGGAGAACGGAAACCAGCCGGAGGGATTCAAATGGTTCTACAAAGGCGATGGTACACGTTCGTCCGACCAGAAAGAGGTATCGCCGCCTCAAGATGTAGAAGTCGAAGAAGTCCTGGCAACCCCACCGCCATCTAAGAAGTCCGTTGTTTTAAAATTGAAGAACGGCATACGCTTGAAAAAAGAAAGCGACTCTTGCTCGACAACCGGTGACGCCCATGGCACGGCCATCAACTCCCAAAGCAAGGACAAGACAGGGCCAAGAGACAAGAACAAGAATAAAGGCCAGAACCGATATGTGCGTTTCACAGCGGAACCGCCAGCAGTCGCGCACCCAGACTACAAAGAACCGGCCTCCATCAGTCGACCAAAACGAAAAGCCGCTGCAAGAAAGTCTTATGTGGATAATGACGATGATTACGTCCCTTCGGAGTAATACGATGCTGATTATTGGTGCCTGGTCAGTGCTGCTGAGATTCTGTCAATGGCTTGGATAATAGATCTGTGCCCCCCCAGTGCTGAAGGGGTGGTGGTGGTGGTTACAGGAATAGGTTGACCCACCATCATGATCGGACATGTCAGCGACAGGCTTTTGTGGTCATTGACGTCTAATATCATTTGCTGGTTATTTCCCTTTTTTGCCCCCATGTTGCTTGCGTACGTTTCTTTACGTCGCATTGAGGTTGCAAAGCATAAAAGGTGCCGGTTTATGCAGAAAGGTCAATTACTGCCCTAGGGCTGCTCTGTTTGCCTCAGAGATTTGTGAAGTCGGACGACAAGGGGCACGAGCGAGCAAAAACAACTTGCGATCTGGAGGCTATGGTATGGTGGTGGCGATGATGTTGTCGCTGTGATTAGACCAGGGGGTGTCTTTGCAGCCATATTATCATCGAACATGAGGACTGATCTGGATGACTTTGCCCTTTCATTTCTTCTATTTTCTTCCTCTTCTTTTTGGTTCTCTTTCCTTTGCCGCACCCGGTTCTGCGTTTTTCTACTAGAGGAACTAACCATTAGAGAAGATCTCAAACGGAAGGAAGAAAAATGGCGACGCGAGGATCGTGACGGCGATTTCATTCATTAATCCTTCCCCGTCGAAAGCTCTCTCGAGGATTCAAGACACGGGAAGAGAGTCAGAGGGGGAGGTGTGCGTGTTTCTTGTTACTTCTGCTCTTGAAAGTGAGAAATAACGTGTTCACCTCCCTTCGCTCCCTTTCGCTTGTCCTGTTTTCTCTCGTCCTGCTAGGTGAACTTCACCAAAGACTTTCGAGCTAGGGGGTGTAAGCTTTCATACCTTCCTCTTCTTCTCCGCGCCCTTCGTTTTCTTCTTTCTCACATCATGCCCCTCTGTCCTCCCATTCTTGTCCTTCCGTCTTTCCCTGCCGTGATCACCGCCCGCACTTAATCGATCCGCATCCCGAAGGCCATCTTCCCCTCCAGATTCGTCGTCATCGTCAATTTTCCGCTTCTTCAACTTCCCGACGCTTTTGACGCTCACGACGGTGCTATTGCCGGCCTCGCGGACCTGTCGCTCCGCTTGCTCCCAAGCTCTGTCGTCTGCCGCGCTGGTGGTGGAGATTTCGTACCTAGACCGAGTGAAAGTCTTATTAGTTCAGAGGATATCTCCCAACACTAGGATGATCTTAAGTGGCTTAAAGGGGAGAGGGGTAGAATAGGAAAATGACATATGAGATTGACGAATGTGGATAGGTTAACTATTGTGTAGCAGTGGACGGAAGAGACTTACTTGTCAAGCGGCAATGCATCAATCATTGCCCTCTGTTTTTCTCTCATCCCGGGATCAACCTCTTCCTCATACTCTTCCGTATCACCCTCGCCATTCACTGGGCCCAAGGGGGCAATGTGTACTCTGCCAGCAACAGGTTTCGGTTCCATTGCCTCTTCACCATTTATTTCGATTTCTTTTTTCTCGCCCAAACTCGCCTCTATCTCTCCACTGACAACCGCCCTCAACGCCGTACTTATCTTCCTCACAATCTTCACAAACATCGCCAACAACTGGTTGCTTGGCAAATTGAGCTCTTTTTCCACCTCCCCGAGGTCCTTCCTCTGCAGTCCGATTGCTAGCAATATACTCTGCTGGACGCCTGATAGGTTGACGTTGCAAGGCGGGAGCTTGAGGCGGCCAGTAAAATACAATTGCGCGAGAGCGGGGAGAAGGTCGAGGATCACGTGGTAATCAAGCAGGTTGTTGGCGTAAGATTCAAGACGGGCGAGATCGAACGGCGAGAAGAGGGCGTCGAGATCGACTTTCGTAAGGGGTCTGACAATCGCCAAAGATGGGTCTTCGGGAGCAGACTTCGTGGCTCGTGAGGCGGATTCAGAGATAGATAGACCTTGAACTGAGGGAAAGGTACGGAATTGATATGACAACAGAGTGAGGAAGCGTCTATGGAAATCTTGCGCGTAGGCCGCAAGCCATGAGTTGTCTGTCGTTGTGCTTGTCGAGAGGGGTCGGAGCATGACGCAAGAATGTTCGCCTGTCAGTTCATTGGGTGTTTGCCGCAGATAGACGGGTGCAAAGGAATGTCTCTTCCAGAACTTATGGAGCGGCTGGGTCAAGCCGAATGAGACGCCAAGATAGTCCAAGTGGTCAGGTCTTCGTTCAGAGAGTTTACTGAACAGTGGCGGCATCTGATGTATATCGCGGACTCTGATGTTGTCATCTAGCAGGTTGGATTCTTCGAGTTCCGCATCTGTGACGCGCGGCATGTGCTCTGCGTCCTCTATTATTGCGTCGTCCGTCTCCGACAAGGAGGTGAATTTGCCCTCATAGAAGTCCCTTAAAAGCTCCAGCGCCCTTGATCCGTATCCCATGTTCAGATACTCCGGATTGGTCGCGATCCTTACTATCCGACTGCCTGACAATCCGGCAAATTCTGAATCCTGGAATTGCTGACTGACCAGCCAGGGAATCAAGTCTCCCCCAGCTCTCTGACCGCGGGACAGGCTGCTCAGAACAGACTTTTTGCTGATTCGACCTTCGAGTGCAACTTGAATGACGCAGAGAGGTTCCGGTAGTTTGTTGGCGTCCGGAGGTATAGGAGGGATCAGGACGAAGAGTTGATGAGCGGGGGCATCGGACATGAGTTGAAGGTCGTTGGGAGAATTCTTGTAATGGGAAGCAACATAAAGCGCCATCATTTGCTGTAGGAACTTTTCTGAGACAGGATGAAAGGAGAAGAGGGTATCACGGTTGACATGAACCAATTCACAAGTCGAAGGATGAGGCGTCCCTTGAGTGTTCATTTTCGACTTGGGCAGAGTGGCATCAAGACATAACAGCCGATTCAACCATTTCTCAACAGCATCGCCAGGTGCGTAACGGATGGGTTCTGACAGAGTAATCTCTCTCAAACTCCGTCCACCCGCATAGACTTTTTGACCGTCCTTAGAGGCCTTGCCTGTCGCCTTATCCGCAATCTCGACCTCGTCGCCATTAGCATGGACTCCACCTCTAGATTGCTCTCTCAGTTGTTGGATGAGTTTCAGCGATAGGGAACGGCCGGTGCCTTCATACCCATTGATGGTGGAAGCCATGAAGACTAGATACGGTCCCATCAATTTCCGAACCAACGGTAGTGGGATCGCTGCTGCTTCGTCAATTACCACCAGTTCCGCTTGACCGAGAACATGGGCATCTTGAGGCTGGATATACTGGATGGTCTGCCGATGTTGTCGGTGAACGTTGATCCGTACGATGGCTTTGTTGTAGTCCGGATTCGTGGATTGCAATATCGTATAGTCAACATGATCCATATATTCTAGCGCATCGAAGCCTTTGATGATGAATTCGAACAATGTCTTCAGATTTTCAGGACTGGGAGATGTGATGAAGATGTTGCTGTAGCCATGAGCTATTGCAGCAGCAACGGCCACCCCAAGAGCAGCCGATTTCCCTCGTCCTCGAGCCGCTGTTAGTGTGACCGTGCTCCGGAGGGTTTTCTCCGATATGGCGTCGACGAAAGTGAGAAGAGCCTTCGCTTGGTCGACAGTTTTGGCCAAATTTATCAGAGGCCCAACAGGCCTGCTGTCAGCCAAACTGTCTTTAATCTCCTTCAGCTCTTTCTGGGTCGGTAGCACATTTTCAGACTCGCTGCTCGGTGGTGGCAAGGGTTGAACATTCTTTCCTCCAGATATGGGCAGAACATTGAGCTCGTCATCCACTACTAAGCAAGCCTCGCAATTTCCTAGCGACAGAATGAATCTCTCGTTGAATCTAGCCACCACATCGTCATGCGCTTCGGTACGATATCTGGAATGGACATCCATGGACATTGTGTAGAGCTGCTTCAGACTTTTCATTCCTTTGAGCAGGAGTAGAACCAACCCTCCACCTTCCACCGTTTCCACAGTTCTGGCGAGGAGATTCGGGGTGATGGCTTCAAAGTCTTGGAGAATGCACATGCCATATGTGTTTCCCAGAATCTTGTCCGTCTCCTTGTAGTAGACATATCGAATATTGTGCAGAGTAACGAATAGTTCAAAGGGATCTTCAGCATCGGGATCTCGAATGCCCCTCTTGATTTCTTTCCTGATCTTCGCTTCGCGTTTTTTCCGGTGGGAAGTGAAGCCTAGGAGGTCTTTTTTGTAGGCCCAAAGGACGGATCTGTTCTGCTTGATGTCGACCGAGGCCATGATATAGTGCAGATGGACAATAACATCCTTGGCTCGGTCGCCCACAACGACGATGAAACTGCGCTTCTTCTCCTGAACACCATTGCGAATGAGCGCAGGGATGCGCGAGTCAATGGCTTTTCGGGGCATCTTGGGAGTCTCCCGGCCCCCCTCCGCTTGAAGCCTTGACGTACAGAGGGTGGAAATTTCTCAAATGGAAAGTCTTCCTCACGATTAGTGTCGGTAAAAAAAGTTCAGAACATCTCCAAAAATTTCGCCGCAGTTTCCTGTTTTAGAAAGGTGTGGGGTGATAAGGCTTTCTCCTAGCCTCGCCTCGCCTTGCCTTGCCTGCTCCTAGCCTCGCTGTCCCCCCCAGCCTCGTCTCAGTTTCAACACACGAGGTAATTCGAAACTTGGTTCCCACAGCACCCAACTAACTGCGCGTGTGCGCGACGGCCTCCCACAATTGACCTTCACGCCTTTGAGAGCTCCTCCAATGACCCTTATCACAGCACACTGAGTTCGTGATGTCGCCCGATAGAAGGAAATTGCCCATGCGATTCCCCCTGTCAACGCATACCTGCTCGAATCCCCTGTCCCTTTAACATTTCATTCAGGCGCAAGGGACACGGTAGGACATCATGGCAACGAACCTCGATATTTTGTGTTTCTCGTGAGTATTTGAGGCTTCATATGAGCATGCCCTGACTGTGCTAGTTTGTCACTGCTGTCGGCAGCATGTCTCGCACACTTCATCCCGATTTCGACTGCCTTCGACCGGCCAGTTCACACTGTGATCCTGGCGCTCACGGCTTGTTCTTTCGCTTTACCGAGTGCCAGTCGGGCAATACCTCAATTATTTCCTCCTTCAGACGCAAAGCAGAGTCGAGGCCAGTATACCGCCGTCCCACTAGAAGAACTCGGCGCGGCCAATGGAAGACTGGAATATTCAGTTATAACCTCAACGCAACCTAGACATACTGGCAAGGTTCGCATATCGGTGTTGAGCCTGGCAGTTTTCGCCTTGTCTATGCGCATAGAGTTGTATCGGCGCATATCTCAGGCAACAGAATGCACCATCGACAGCGTAGAAATGTTTCTACCATTCATGTTGGCAATCTATGATTCCATCAGAGCCCAGCGCTCGCTTGACTTGCGGCAAGAAGAAAAGCCCGACAGTTCTGTATACGAATCATTACGTGCAGCTGCCAGAACCTACGTTTTAAGACCACGAACTCGGTATCTCCTGTCTATCTTGATGGTCTCGTACGGATGCTATCTCACGCAAGGTCTATGGGCCTCAACCAACTCGACCTATATCTGCCCCCTTGCTCTTGGCGAACCGAAGACAATTCCCATGATGCAAGTTGGTGCCCTGGCGCTGGATTTATGCCTTGTCGTCATCGCCTATGAGACTATTCCAAAATCTGACGGCAGAGGGCTTTCAGGACGACGATGCGTAGTCCTCTGGAGTTCAGCTATGATTGCCACGTCAGTTATTTGGTCGATCGCTGCTGTCGTGGTGTATCTTTTCAAGCCAGAATACCGACTCTGGCTCTTGTTTCTTTTTCCGCCACTGGATGTTGGCACAATTTTTGCTATGGCGTCCCATGTTTTCCTTTTCTGCGTCTTGTGTATATCGTTTCTGCATAGTGTAAGTGCAGGCAGAGTCTTTTGCAGAATTTGTACTGACATCCGCGCAGATCATGACTTACGGCGCATTGGAAATGACAGCATACCTTACGGCATTCGTCACTATGATACCCGCATTCGAGTTTATTTGGTCGCACAGAAATCCCTTTCCTCAAACGCCATCTTCCGCGACGACACCATCCTTTCTCCTGATCTTTTTCGGCCAATGGGCGTATCGCTGGATACAACAGGAATTGGGTGGCAAAAACTCGATGCGATCGTCCAGACAATTCTTGCTCTTTGTCGTCCTTTGCATACTCATCTTTCCCGCTTGGTTGAAGAAAGACTATGTCCATTTCCATCCCATTGATATGCTCATGTACGACGCCACGCTCCATCATAATAAGTATCTTGAGACGGTGGGAAGCACCTCCTCGCTCGCAGAGGCCGTTACTGGATACACCCAACGATACAATCGGAACCCTCCCCCCGGATTCGATGTCTGGTTCGAATACGCAAAAAATAGGTCCGTATTGATAGTGGACGAATACGACCAGATATATCATGATTTGCTACCTTTTCGCACGATCTCACCCGCCGATCTAAGGAGGCAGACATGGGAAATGGTATCGAATCCGTGGAATGAAATCTCGGGCATCACCATCCGAGACGGAGAAGCAAAAGTGCAAGAGAACGTCCTGCCAACTCATCGATGGATGCTTGAGGGTGTCGCTGTTCTCATCAACAGTTTTGCCCAACACCTCCCTGATATGGATTTGGCCTTCAACTTGAATGACGAATCGAGGGTCGCTGTGCCGTACGAGCAGATCAAATCTCTCCGAGAACAAGGCCGAGCACAAGATAAGAGCGGTAGCTCAGGTTGGTCCAATGATCGTGCAGGCGGATGGCTGCCAATTCCCGAAACAGAACGTACAGAAACTGTCTTTCGTGATAACTCCTGGCGCAACAGTTTCCGTACCTTTGGCTCAATAGGCTGTCCTCCTTCCTCCTTTGCACGGACTTCGCCACACATTTCATCCCAATCTCACATCTGCAGCAGCTGCGTGGCTCCACACTCTCTGGGCCAATTCGTGGGCAACTGGTCTGATGCAGCAGACATATGCCATCAACCAGATATAGCTCATCTCCACGGCTTCTACCTCTCGCCTGCGGCATTCAAGACCAGTTACCAGCTCATGCCCGTCTTCTCTCAATCTAAACCGCACGGTTACAGCGACATCCTGTACCCTTCCGCCTGGAATTATATGGACAAGGTCATCTACGCGCCGACAAATCCCCAAGGTACACCTGGACAAGAAGACTACCACGCAGGTTTTCCGGACCTGCCGTTCAAGGAGAAAGAAAACGTTCTCTTCTGGCGCGGCGCCACCTCTGAGGGTGTCTCGTCGGACAGCGGCGCCTGGCGCGGTATGACACGCCAGCGCCTCGTGCACATGGCCAACAATCTAACCAACCACCCTCACGATGCGGTGACCGTCCTCCTTCCCAGTCCCGCCGACCACTCTAAATATCAGTATCAGACAATCCCTGGGGCCCAAATCAAACAGCTTGGCTTGCAAACGGACATTGCGATTGTTGATTTCATCGCCCGGTGCGGCGGCAAAGACTGCACCGACCAATCCCAAGAATTCAATCTGGTAGGACCCACGGACTTCCAGGCGCATTGGCGGTATCGATTCCTGTTTGACCTCGACGGCGCCGGTTTCAGCGGCCGCTTTTTGCCGTTTCTCCGCTCGCACTCCCTCCCGTTCAAGACAGCCTTGTTTCGCGAGTGGTACGACTCCCGCCTCACGGCGTGGCTGCACTTTGTGCCACAGGACATCCGCCTGCACGACGTTTGGAGCAGCCTGGCGTACTTTGCGGGCGTCAACGGGACCATGTTTGGTCACAAGATCTGGTGGAAGCCGCACTTGAAGGAGGCCGAGATGATCGCCGAGGCCGGGCGCGACTGGGCGGCCAAGGTGCTCCGCAAGGAGGATATGGAGTGTTACTTTTTCCGCCTGTTGCTCGAGTGGGCGCGCTTGTCAGATGACAACAGGGACGAACTCGGCTTTGTACTATGATTCCTTTTATTTCTCCCCTGCTTGCTTTTCCCCTTGCTCTTCAGGGGTCGCGAGGAGACAAGAGAGGAGAAGTTTTTTTTTTTCTGCTTTTAGGGGGAGGAGGGGAGAGAGATGATGATGACTTATGAAGGAAGAATAAGCCGGTTCAGATCGTGATCATAGGTTCTGTGTATTGCTGTTGCTCCAGTTGGTGCCGGTGCTGGCTTTGGTGTTGGCGCTTTTGTCCCTGTCCCATCCTTCGGGCTCAATTTGAAACTAATTCCCAGTTTGTTCGCATTCGAACTTTGCCCGTTGTCCTTCCCAAAACCTTCGCCTTACTAGCCAGTCAGCCAGCCAGCCTTCATACGCGATCGCAGGAAATTACTAGACCTTAGTTTACCAAGTAGTTAACCATCAGTGAAAAGTAGACTAATTAACGCCCGCATTTTTCTGGCTTTGCCTAAGTTTTAAGATCTCGCCATCGCCCCCCTTACTGACGCTTTGGTCTTGCCCTTGATTGTGCCGTTGCTCCAGGGTCTTACCTTCGCATTTCTCAGTCCTATTGTCATTCTCGCTAGTTCACAGTCGTTCTGGCTATGGTTATGGTGATCATTGTATATACCATGTCATGTGTCATACATATTATTATGCGTTGTAGATTATGCCTTATATATTGTATACAAGGATCTCCGAGAACAGATCGTTCAGTATATTTTCCGCGCTGCAGTCGGCGGCGGCTGCGCCCTGGTGGAGATCCCTTTCCATAAATTCAATTTCGACTTCCATAGCTGCATTATCCACGGTCATGGTCATGGTCTGGGTATCCTCCTCGAAATGCGCTGGGAGTTGGTGCCCCTCCTGGCGCTGGCGCTGGCGCTGGTGCTGCTGCTGCTGCTGCTGGTGTTGATGATAGGAGCAGTCGGCGCCGCTGTCGAACTGGTCGTCGAACCAGTCCGTACCACTGGTATCCATCAGCGGCAGTGGTGGCGCGGGAGGGAATGCCAGGTCATCTGCGCATGGACTCGATGGAACTCTGGACTTGGACACAGGGGCACATAACTGTATCGCCTGGGTAGGGACAGTGTCATTTGGCATCATTATCATCGGGTTGGCCATTGTCGTCGCCGTCAACAGCCCCTCCGCCTTTGCTTGAATGATGTGCTCGGCCATCTCGCGCGGCGTGACGCCCTGAAGTTTCTTGAACACGCGCTGCAAGTGCCACTTGCTCAATCCGACCTGCCCAGCCAATTGGGAAAGGCTCAACGGCTGGCCCTTTTCGGACGCCGAGTGGCAGACAAGATGCACTGCGCGTTGTATCTTCGTGTGGATGTCATCCACATCCACATCGCCGTCTCGGCCCGGACTTGTCTCAGCAGACTCAGAAACAGACACCGACCCAGACGAGACACTTCGAGTAACCGGCGTATTCAGACCAGGGACGAATTCATCCCCCGACGCCGGACCTGGACGGGACTCTGACCAAGGAAATGACGACGACAACGGCGAGACGTCTCCATAAGCGAGCTTCGCCCGGTTCGGCCTGCACCGCTTACACGCCCTGAAGCCGGCGCGCTCAGCCTGGGCGGCCTGGTCGAAGAATCGTACATTGGCGCGTCGAGCCAGCCGCGCGCGGCAGTCGGGCCGGCAATAGATCTTGGTGGTGACGACGGCGTAGACGAACACGTTTGTTGCCTGGGGATCCCGCGCGACTAGGGCCTTCCATCTTGACGTTTCGCTTCTGTACGCGGACGGCGGCGATGTGGAGGGAGCGGAGGGCGAGGATTGCGACGGCGTGTTGCTAGAGGAGAAATGCGGTAGCTGTTGTATTTGTTGCGGTGGTAGTTGGAGCGGAAGTGATACAGGAGCAGGCCGTGGTGGGAGGAGTAATGCTTCCGTCGCCGTCGCCGTCGCCAGTGTCGTGGTCACCATGGTCATCGCGGGCGAACAATCAAACATAATGTTGTCGTCGTAAGGGTATGAGAAGGGGAAATTCATTGTGTCGGGACTGATGGTGGCGGACATTGCTGCGACAGTGGCCCGTGTCATGTCGTGCCTGTTATGCGGTCTCTCTCTCTCCGTCTCTCGCCACACGGACACACTCTCTCTCTTCCTTTCCCTCCTTCTCTTTTCCTCGGGGATAATCGAGAATCCTGCTTAATTACTTCCCTTGCCCCCGAAGGTTCCCACTCCAGCCGAAAGCGATTAACCCCCTCTCTTGCTCTCACGAGTGCCAAAATCCCAGGAGTCCGTCTAGAGGTAAGTTCGACAGTGGACGATGATATATCTACAAGGGAGAGGAGACAGAGATATATTATTAGCAGTAGTGGAGGAATTTGGAGGAGTCAGAGTCAGAGTCAGTTGTCACTTTAATATCACTTAGTCGGTGAAAATCGGGGGTCGACTCTGATTGGTGACATTGGTAGCAATGTCATTCTGTGCGTCTTTCGTCCGCGGAGCAAAGACAATTTTTGAACAATCTTGGCGACTCCTCGTATTGAAATGTTTGTGTGAGATTATGATGTATATTATCACCACCTGAATGGCGTGTGGATGTATCAATCTCTCTCAGCAAGACCTTGGAAAAGTAGGTAGCTGAATCCCAAATGCCTTCCGCCGCCGTCTCTACGCTGGAAAACAATCGCGTGCGCTATGCTGCCATGTGTCCTGTCCAGTCAACCCAAGAAATATGCTGATGAAGTACTCCATCCCTCCCTGCCCTCTTCTCAATGCAATACGCCTGCCGTCTTTCTTTTATCTCCTACTGCTCGCTTTACTCCTCCTGCTCCTCCGGCTTTCCACCGAGATCTGGCTCACACTATCCTCGGGCCTGACCTCTCGATCCGTGACATCTAATTTAGCCAACTCCTTCTGTTTAGAAACCATGCTCGCTGTCTCCATTTTGTCATCCTCCTCGATCATCTCTCCTCCATCGCGCAGAGGATTGAGTTTGCCGATAATCGTCCTTGGCCCGGAAAGACCAAAGTTCGACCTCGCCGACACGAAGCTGGCCTTGCCGACGTCGGAACCAGCCCATGTTCCCGCACGGGATGGCGGAAGCGGATACTCCGCCGGGTCTCTTCGACTATGCCTTGAACTGGCTCGACTTGCTGGCTTTATTGTCACCTGGGAGTCGTGACCGGAGACGTAACTTGCTGCCTTGGATCCTGCTTGCGACTGGTGCGCAGAGACATGACTCGGCGCCTTGGTTCCTGCCTGGGACTCATGAGCCGAAACGTGACTCGGTGCTTTCGATCCTGCCCGGGGCTCGTGAACCGACACGTGACTTGGTGCTTTCGACCCTGCTTGGGCTTCGCGAACGGAGACATGACTCGGCGCCTTGGATCCTGCTGCTTGTGACTGGTTTGCGGAGACATGGCTTGGTGCCCTAGACCCAGCCTGGGACTGATGTACAGAAACGTGACTCGCTACCTTTGATTCTCTATGTGAGTGGTGTGAAGACACACGGCTTGAAGACCGGTGTGTCGTCTCCGTCACATGGAGCACCGTCCTTGCCTCTTCTTCCTCTTCTTCCTCCTCCTCTCTTTTCTCCGGCGCGTTATCCTCAAACTCATCACGCCGACTCCTTCTCGACCTCGTGCTGTGTCGAGACTGTGATCTTGACTTCGGCTGGTCCGCCGACGAACGACCCGTGAGACTTCTCCCAAGACGACCTAAACTGCTCGCGCGGGATCTCGAACGGCCGCCACCGGACGCAGCAGAAACTTTCGATTTCACCGTCAGTGCAGTCGGGGCTCGGTAACTCGTCGGCGGTGGCGCGTTTGTGCTCTTTTTCGACTGCCGTGACGCTTTCGACGAAGCATGCGACGCGACATCAAAATCGCGCTGGACAACCCCAAGGCCGACTCCGGAATCCATGCTCACTCTCCTCGTCACCGAAGCAGGGCAGATTGTGGATGCAGCGTCGGGAAAGGTCTGAACAGTGGGTGCCGGAGGATCGTGATCGTACATGGTGATGAGTTTTTGCTCACCGGGTTCATGGGGAGTGTACGTATATGCCGAAGGGGCCGGCTCAATGGCCCGATAACCCATTCCCTCGTAAGCCCCCTGATACTCGGAATTGGCAGTCGAGTATTCCGCACGCATCACTTTGACAGGTTCGGTAACACTGCGGCCAGTGACGGAAGGGCGTGGAGGAGGTACGAATTTGTGCTCTTCACGATCGTCACGAGAGTCTTCCTTTGATCGGTTGCTGAAGGCGTAGGTTAGGGCGGCGCCGGCGGCGACGCCGAGCAGGGTGCCAACAATGGCTTCCCCTGCACCACTGCCACCGCCTGTTGAGTTGTTACCTGTCGATGACTTTGGCGGGGAAGAAGAGATGAGGTTAGGTGTCATACTGTTGACAAGGTCGCGGGCGACATTGGCGGCATTGCGAGCCTCGTTGATTAATGACCCAAGAACATCCCCGGAAGGCTTTGGCTTGGGTTGCGTATTTTCTGGAGGTATATTGGGTGGGCTCGAGATATACGACGCGGCTTGAGATGCGACCTGAGATGGTGCTCTGACACTTTTGGGAGGTGCCACAGTGGAAGGTGCTCTCACGCTCGCACTCCGATGAGACACCATGCTTCTCGCATCCGCATTTTCCTTGTTGACTTCGTTGCCGAATCCAGGTCTGTAGACGGCCTCAATGGAATTGCCATCAAAGTCGATCACCGCAGCCGAGTAATATCCCGCGGCGTCCCGCTGACATGGTTCCCCATGGATCTTCCCACCAGCCTTGAGGGCGGCGAGGAAGAAATCTTGCACCTGTGCCCGAGATGCGGCAGGGAAAGCCACGTGCGCGGCGCCTGCGGGCACGCCAGGAATTTCTTGTGTGATCCAAAAGTCGGCCGGGGTATTCGGTGGAGAGGCGGGGCCAAACCCAATCGTGTGCTCTTGTCGGCCGCGAAAGACATAGTTGAGCGGTTGGAGGGCGGAGAGGAAGAACGAAGTCGACGTCGGAAGGTGGCTGACGGTGAGGGTAATAGAGGAAGGCATGGGATCGTAGAGACAACGGGCGGGCGATGAGACTGGGTGCGAGAAGACGCTGGAGAAAGAGGGATGTTGTGGTTGATGTGTTATATGACCCTCTTGTTGTTGCTGGACGGAGAGCAGTGGTTCGGTGTCCTCGTGAGTTTCAACAAAGATGAGTCTGATTGGAGTTGGCAACCTGTTTGTCTGGCGAAGTGATATGGTCTGGGGACCTGGCGAGACCCTGTACTCGCGGTTTGGATTCAACAGTCTCCCACAGACTGTCACCGTGAAAATGGATCCCTGCACAAACGTGAGGAGGGGAAGAGGGCTTTGAACCTGTACGACGAAAGCTGAAGAGAAGGGAGTTCCAGGTGACAATGATGCTCTACTTGTTTATAAGATCCGTTAGCAGCGAGAGGAGTCGAGCAAAAGATCGGCGACGGGCATCCAAGATGGCTGGTACCAACCGGCGGTTTATTCGCTACAAGTCTTGTGATGATCAGCCATCCATCGGAAAACAATTCTTTCCATCTATGAAACCATTGACATGGGGTCAAGCGACCTAACGGCGGGATCTGGGAGTGCCGATGGGGGTACCTGCGCCTTGCTTCCTGTAGACGCCTGACTTCTGCCCACTAACGTCTAGTCCCATCTGACACGGAAAGACAATGCGTGATGCGTGGTGGGTGAGGCGAGAAGAGGCTCCAGATGTCGATGGTGGCGAACGAATCGAGAAAGCCGTGATAGCAATAAAACGGTGTGGCCCGTGGATGGCGGACGCAGATGCCACGTCGAAGCACTGCGCTTGGCTTGGGATGTGTGAGTGGGGGGAGGAAAAGTCCGGGAGAAGGTGACAGGAATGGCAATGGAAGAGGGAAAAATGGCCCAATTGTGAATAGTTGTCGAGGCTTGATTGGGGAGAGTGCAGGGCAAATGCAGGGTGAGGATGGTGATGGTGCCGGGGAACTGCGCGTTGACGAGGATGGCCGCAATGGCTTCTCGGCTGCGAGAATGAGGAAGCCATGACGACAAGTGGTTGATGTCTGTTCGGCCCGTCGCGACTCGTTCGGGCGTCAATGCAGCGGCTAGTGATAGTGCCTCGTAACTGCTTGGACGGTGACCAGGTTGGGTGTCGGTCAACTTCTTACTCAACACTCACGCTCACCCTTAGTCTCGCCCTCGTGCTCGCCCTCAACCCACGGGTATTTCTCGAAAACGAGCATGACACGACCTGCATAGAGTTACCACGTCCTGACTCAACGTCTGTGTCTGCCTTGGGCTGCCGAGAATGAGCCTTGTCATCTGTGCCAAAGGTATGACTTGTCCAAGCTCTTCTAATCATTCGACCTCATTGCTTCTTCTGTGACGGGAGCATCAAGTCGAAGCCACGCAGCAGCAGTGGCGGCGGCAACATGAACTGGTTCAAGTGTTCTGGATCCGCGAGACCGGGTTTGGAGCATCACATATTGGACAGGATGTCTGAGGGTGCCGAGTAGAGATGGAAACGAGCAAAATTCAACGAGTCTCGTTTCCCAAGAGCAGAGCTCGAGTTACGAGTTACACGGTGCAAAGGCTTACACCCCACGACCATCACGTGACTCCGCTCCTCGTCTTCATTTGGAAACGCTATTATTATTATGTAGCCCTTCCAAACCAGAAAAGCATAGCGAGGTAGACGGAGGGAGCGTGGACTTGAATAGATGATAGTATAGAGATAATGAGGTGGATAGATGCACCCATTTCCTCATCCAGCTGACTGCTGGGCAAGCGGCGTCCTTCACTGTCCGCTTTCTGCTATCCGGTGGACAAGCAGAGATGTCCGCAATATAATCAAACACGATTTGCCGATACTGGCACCCCTCCTCCCAACTTTTGTTCATCGCTCATTGTTCTGACATTTTGTGGATAACACAATGTAGGGCAGGTTGACATGCACCTACGCGTATCTCAGACGAAGAAAAGAAATCTCGCCTTGAGGTTTTGTTGAACCATGTTATGTCTTGTTGTGAAAACAAACGCCAGATCCAACACTCCCCCAATGCAGCACAAACCGTCTCGAGGTGACATTCACGCCACCTGGCTTCGATGTTGTGATCGAACCAGGCCGCCAGAATTGCCCGCGGCAAGAGAAAGAGAAGAGTCCTGCGACGAGAGATCAGTCTTTTGAGGCATTACCTTGTCCGAAAAAGTCCTGCTTGCACTTTTAGATGATTTTCCAAGCATCTTCGCAGGCGTGGCAGAACTTGCTGCAAGCAATACTTGCGCTGAGGCTGTAGTTGCTGATACTGATCGATTCGTCCTTGAACGCGTCGGCAAAGTCGTCCTTGCCCTTGGCCATGGCACCGACAAAGACGCATATGCTCTCGTCGGGCCCCAGGGTATCGACGTAGTCGCGGACTCGGACGACTTCAGCGTCGAAACTCAAAGTGACTTTCCGGCAGTTTGGTGGTAGATGGTCTGTAATGGGGTTCTTGATGACCTTGAGCAGTTTCTCCTGCGAATTTACCGATCGAATAGACAATCTGTGCAGCAGTTGGACCATGAGACCGGCAAATCGCTTGAACGTTCTTGGAATCCGGACGGTGGGGCTGACTTCGATCAAAACACCCTTTGCTGTGTGAATGTAGATCTGCAGTTTACCGGCCTTGTTGATGGGAGAGTCGAGGAGAGTAAGAAGGCACTGGACGTTGAAGTCAGCTCGCCACTACAAGAGGTTCAGTGGGATATATAGCCACCTGGTGAGTGATATCGGGTCGGGCGTCACTTATATCTCGACCCATTTTCCGCATGACACCAATGTGCTCATCACTGTTCAAGAGCGAATACTTCTCTTCTTTCCCTCCCGCTTTGCCCGTGTGTGCAGCTCGGTACGTTTCGAGGGAGGCATTCGACAATACCACGATCAGTCTCTTTGTGTCTTTGTCGGTCGCGGCAATAGGAACATGTTGTTCGGCGATGAGGCGAGGAAGTTCGGGTGGGGGAAGAGACTGCGCCCCTGCAGGAGTATGTGAGTCAAACGAGGACATGAAGTCGTGGAATTCTAGAGAAGCCGACAATCATCCATTGTGGGGGAGGGTCTTTGCAAATTGACCCTGACAACTTGAACGTACTCGAGCGCTTTCTCTTAACGCCAGCCTCCACGGATCCGGAAGTCATGGTTGCGGCAGTGTTTGCAGGGAAGTCAGGGTGAGGCGGCGAAAGAGGCAGTAGGGATCGAGCTGGGATTGTCCTAGATTCGTGACTCTGCGTAACTTGGAGCGAAGAATAAGTTCAGGAAAGAGAAGGACGAAATATGGAATGATCTCTTGATGTATTCGGCTACTCGGAAGATGGTAAGATTGAACGGGTTGTAGCAAGACTCAGTTCTCGAATTGGAGTCGGTCAGATTTTTGCACACGATCAAAATTTGGTCTCGGCTTCGGCGTAACAAGCAGTAGCCCGCCCAACCCGATCACTGTCAGGCCCCCGCACTGGAAATGGCTTCCGCTGCCAGTGGAGCTGCTGGGGTAGCGATGCAGCAAGAATGTCGCCGAAATATCTCCGTTCGGCTCTACTGCACACCTCCAGTCAATATGCCCAACAACGTACCTGCCCCTGCAACAATCTTGGCCTCGTCTCGGGACACTTTGCCATCATCATGTCTATTACAACTCTCTGTCTTGTCGTATCGTCAGTCACACAGCATGAGAGCAAGAAAGTAGAAAATAAAAACAAAAAATATCAACGATGTGCGGTGTGAGTTCTGGAGAGTCCCGAAGAACCGCTTTGGATGCGAAGGCTTGGGTAAACATTTCCACCAGGCTAATGTGACCAGGCATGGGATAGAGCGATTTGCACTATATTTCCAATATAATCGGCTCGCAAGCATTGTTATCTGGAGTCTCTGTTGTACGGACTCTGTCGAAGTCTGTGCCCGGACACTATCCAATTTTGTTCCTTGGGTTCCCAGCTGTGGTTGTTTTCGTATATTTAGGGAGGACCACTTAGCTCCATGTGTACCTGCTCTGAGTGCCCTTTAGGCCACCTTTTCATCCAAGCTGATGATTTGGAGCGTTTTGGCGAAGACAATTTTTGATTTGGGATGTGTAGCCAAGGGTGGGCGGGATAAGGCTGTAAAGGCGCGTGTTACTGCCTGACAACGCAACCCAGCCTTCATTTCCGTGTTACAACATCATCTACAACTGTTTCCTGCAGGCGAAGTCGGCAAGGGTCCGCTCCGAACAATTTTGCAACTCTCAGGATCAATTCGCCACTGTATATCATTCAAATATGGACGACACACAGTTGCAACTATCGGCAAGTTCGAATTCGGGAATATTTCAACATTGTCAGAACCCCGAACACTTTCCCACGGGAAATTTCGCTACCCCGGGCTTCAACGTGGACACTCTGCCAATCTCGATCCGACAGCGTGTCGGACGATACAGCTGCCTGCATTGCAAAATGGCCCCCCAGAGCGTCAATACTTCCAAGGACTCCAGCTAAATCTTTCAGGAGATCTGAGCGAGCTTCTTCGTGCGATCAGGAACCTTGAGGCTCGCCTTGAACATGAGCGTAGGCGGAAGTGGTTCGTGAATGCCACTGTGTAAGTCCGACAACGCTCACGAGACGGAATACAGATTCGCTCCATGTGAAATTGTCGCTGGCTTCTATTTCTTTCGGCAGTGCTTTTTCGATCCACCCTTCCATTGCGACCCCTATTCCTTCTTTCACATCCCCAAGGTTGAGATGGTCGCACTGGACGTTGGCTGAAGCCTCACCTTTCCCTTTTGCCATCTGGAGGGTTTTGCAGCATGAAAGAGGGTAGTCGTGCACGAGTCATCTAGAAAGAGACTTGAACTACTTCTACGAGCGTGTTGAACAGGGAGGGAGGGTGTGAGCTATCCCGAACTTGAGAGATGCATTGATGATGAGACCTGGTGAAACGTGCCTTGGCAGACACTGCATCGATCGACAATTGAGCTCACATAGGCCAACGGCTTCCCGCCACGGTTATCTTGAGATGTCCATTCCTTTGAAAGCAGTCTCTAAGTGTATTGACCATGGTAGGGATTAGGAAAAGGTGCGACATGTACAACGTGCGACTTATCGCGATCCGAAGCATTGAGTGAACACGGCGTGTGATAACTTGGTCTATCTTACACGTAGGGTACGGGGGCTAAGATATCTCAGGCCCTGTTTTTGTGAAGAGTCAAGTTGGGGGTCTTGAGGTCCCTGAAACGGGTCTCTCGGTAACGGATGTAGAAAGTTGAAGCATTACTCCAAAAGTGATACATCTAATTAAGTTGTGAGTTTCCAATACTGTCAGGGGCCCAAAATTGGTATCGAGTATAGGTGTCTAAAGTCAACGAAAGTTGATATTGTAGATATAGAGGAAGAAGGGAGACCAAAAGGCTTAGGTACTGTAGGACTCTGGGAGCGCTCAGTCAGATGGGGAAGACGGACAATTGGTTTTTCGTTCGATACTACCGGCGTAGTGATCAAGCGAGCAACGGGAATAATCGTGCTACAGGCCGGGGGTGTGTCACAAAGGACCAAGATTGCATGCATGCTTTGGCGAATGAATCAGCACTACAGCAGCCACATCACGCGCGACCGCATCTGGTCGGCGCTCATGATGAATCCCTCGCAGACCATTTGTGCTGCAGGGTTCTCCTCACGAGTGCATATGCGAGTTCTGCTCAGGCCGTGGGAACAGCGCGAAGTAGAGGGGGAGGCAGCTCTCTGGATTGGAGGCAGAGCGGCAAATTGAAGTGGAAAAACACCCCAATTCGACTTCTGAAGATAGCTCTGAAACCTTTCAAAAGGCAAGGGACCCTACGCTTCCTGCGCTACAGATGAGCCATTTGAAGAATCGTGTCGCGCATCATGGATAACACGTTGCCTTTTGGCCGAGCGCCAAATTGGGGCACCTATAGAACGCCTAGAATGCCATCTGGTCCGAGCCCGTGATTATTGGGTGTGCCGGTTCGGACGCAAGCCCTCCAGTCCTGCTCGACAGACCTTTCGATGCGCAGCCCTGGGAGCCTAGTTTGAGAGATGGAGAGATGGATTGCGCGATGCGCTGGATTTGCTCCTCCAACCGCTCTGTTTTGTCAGTTGGACAGTGTGTGGTTGCCGCCCGTGGAGTGGAGATGGGGCCTCGTAATTTTTTGGCCGCACTTCCACGCGCAAGCCTGTTCGGGGATAGCACGGTCCGAGGTTAGTGCAAACCGAATGCCCCATCAGTTCGTGCCAGGATATAGGCCAATTGTAGAACGCCGATGCGAGACAAACCTGTGACCAGACGAGAGCCAGGTGTACAGGACCAACGTGTGCATAGCGAGAGCGAGATGCACACGCAGTCAACTGGCCTGTGGATCACCTAAACGACAACTGTGATTGCTATCCCGCTCTCCCGACTTGTCAATACTTGTCGTACTTAAATGACTTCTTCGCGTCTCTTGGTGCAGTGGCTCCTGCAGCAAACGTCTCTTAAGACTCGACACAGCATGCCGCAGCATGTCCTGCACCCCACCATAAACATCCCTTCTGCGTGGTACTATTCTTCCACCGGGTGCCCCTCTCTCCCTCATGGGCTTAGGCGATCTATTTAGGTAGCCCCAGGGTAGCTCAGATACTTGAGAGTTTTGCATGCTGTCATCAAACACCAAAAACAAACAACGCATGAAGGTCAGTCCCAGTCATCACAATCATCCTGGGGTGAGTAGTCCTTGATCTGACCTTTGCGACCGGCCACAGGGCTCAACCTCTGGTCAGCGGCCTCACACCAGATCGTTTGCCAGACTTCATGGGCTGAGTGTCAAAGATTTCACGCTTGAAGACCTAGACGTCGCCTCAGGCAAAACTCGCTCGCGACGGGTCTCACAGCCTCTACCCCTGTCGACCTCGGTGTCGAGCTCCCCGTTGCTGCCGTCCAAAGTTAGACAAGCCAGGAAGACTGCGGTGGAGCCGGGGGGGACGTTAAGCACACTTCAAACTCGATCGAATAAGAACAAGGAGAGACCTTTGCTCGAGCGGTTGGACGGCACTGACGCTCGCAACTTACGGTCACAACAGCCCCAGTCTCCGACAGCGTGTCGCGGAGCAAAAGTGCAACCTCAGCCAAGGGAGCTACCCATTGGATCGAGCCCTCCTCGACCAGGGTTTGAGCACGCGACAACCACAGAGAAACGGGTGAGAAACTATCTGGGTCTAGTGTGCTAATAGAGCTGACAGACGATAGGACACGGTCTCTGTCTGGCTAGACTTAATTAGCCCCAGCACTGCACAGACTTCTCACGATTTCACGCAGAGACGCAGTTATTCTCACATTGCATCGGCATCGGATCCAGCAGACATGGAATCTTCAAGCTCGGCTCAGACTAACACAAGTGCCACTACTGACGATGCAACAACTACAAAGGCTAGTACGGTCCGACACATCCCTTTCATGGAACATTTGGAGTTCCGAGGCATCACGGATGAACCCTCAAGTGACGAGAAACTTCAAGAACTTGACCTAGACAAGATCATCCATGCGACACCTTCTCACGTCGAATTCCAGAAATTTGAAAGTCTCCTCCGAGTGCTGGAAGATTATCTTAAGAAGCTACGGAAGTCGGTAAAGGATCAGTCTTCAGACAATGGCCTCCCGGTTTATGACGCCTTAAGGCACGACATAAACCACTGGAGACCTGAGACTGGGAGTTACAGACGGTTTCCTCCAATGTCTCCTCAAGATTTTGCATGGGACCGAATGCAATGCTCTACATCGAGCGAGGCCGATTTCCACCGGACCGTCATGATTTCTATTATAGATCGCCTCGATTTCCGCAGTGTCTTCGCCTTTAGTTGCGAGGAACAGTGGCGCATTGAAAAGCAGTTTTTGATAAAACCAAGAAAGCCTAGCAGCAAGATTACACAGCCGAAACCCGACCTTGCCATATCATTTCATCGAGGTGCATTCATAGAGGCGAGACGCCTTGAGTATCCCCTCGAGCTAGGGAATTGCCTTCATCCCGGCAAGAGAGGGCGCGAGCGATGGTTTCCTTTTCTCTTCATGGAAGCTAAAAGGGAGGATAGCTCGCTTCGTACCGCGTTCGAGAAGAATCTGTATAGCGCAAGCCAGGCGCTCTTCAATATCTTTCAATGGATGCGCCTAATCCCCCAGCTCCACCAGAAATTTTTTAAAGATGTTCGAACTTTCAGCATCGTTCTTAACAACGAAGATATGGTGTTAAGAATGCATCGTGCAGAAAGGGATGGGGATAGTCAGCTTAGGTACGAGTTTACGGAAGTGGCCAAAATACGAGATTACAGCCGCGACGCCGCCTGCCATCTGGTCAAAAGTATTTTATTGGACTACGGGTTATCACATCTACATCCCATCCTGAAAGACACCTTCCGAATGGTTGTTGAGATGGATCACTTGAGGGAGAGTGGAGCGAAGCGCAAGCAGGACCTCATGGACGCACAGACAATCACAGAGGTCATTAACAACGGCCCGGGGCCTGAGGAGACAGATACTCCGCGACTTCAGAGCACCAACACGGGATTATCCTTCGATGCCGACAATCTGACCTTGACGGCGCGGGAGAACGCCCCCAAGCGGAGCAGAAAAAGTCGCGGTGGGCGATGATGGTTGAACCGTGGGTCATTCCTTTTGCGGCCAACTTCTCGGCCCTTCGACCACATGGAGCGCGACCCATAAGGAATTTTGGTAGGTAGCAGCGTAGGGTAGGGATTTATGGGGTCTCCTGAGGATGAAGAGCCCGTTTGAGATATGAGGAACTTGCTCTGCTAGATCGTTGCAGCATGCATCTATTCTTATTGAACCCCAATGAAAGAACTCGTATTCTGAGGGGTAAGGGGTGCTAATCACGGCCCTTGCGAATCCCTCCTCCTTTCACTGCTGTCTAACATTCCTTATACACCGTACTGCCGGATTCTTGATACCAGGGATCATATGAGACTTATAGCTTTCGGAGAGCTCTGCGCTACTTCTCTTACGTATGTAGATTTTTGTCACTCTGGCCATAATATCGGAAGCGACTTAGGGGAGGATGAACCTCACGAATTATGTGACTGCGCTTAACTCTGGCGGTCCCCTGCCTCTGTCGGATACTCACACCTTGCGCGCGATATCTCCCCTCGAGGAATATGGCAACTTATACGGTCATCCTACGAGGGGCCAGTTTGAGAATCTCGAGGTTCCGAAACCAAGCCTCTTGTAAAGACAATGTATATTCTCTCGTACCTGATTTTCTTTGTATAAAAGGACGAATCAGCTCTCCTACGCAACCTAAGTGGGCCACCTTATGACAAAGTCGCTCAGCTTTTAAATACTCCTCCGCAGACGCCTAGTCTGTCCGTTATCTTCGTCACACGCTTCAGCGCCGCAAGCTTTTCTGAGACTTTCACGATGCCACTGGATGCTGTCAGCTTGGGTGATGAAGAGGGGGGGGAGGGGG